TGTTCGGTTGGTACGTAATCCACATGACTCATAGGGTGGATTATCGATTCTTGTGTTCTGCATTAAACTATTTATAGTTTAAGGGCCTGGTTAGAATTACTGCCTTAGACTAGGAATAGCTAAGAGCTGAATATAAAATGATGTGGCCTTAGATTAAGAATAATTTAAGAGCATTATTGATATATATTGAATATCAAATGACTTGGAATAAAATATTGAAAATATTTTGAATATTTGAACCATATATTGTGTGCATGATATCAAATGGTTGATTATGAATTGAGATTCAATTTATGTGGATATTCGACGTTTTAGATATGCTTACTCAGCTTCACCGCTGAGCGTGTAGTGTGTTTTATTTGCTACACGCAGGTAAACAGAAAGATTAATGTGATCCTGGCGGCAGATGGAGCGAGATTGTCAGGATGGATGTGACAAGTTTTGAAATAATTTATGATATGTCAATATTAAATTCGCTTCCGCAATATTGTTAAATACTCCGTACTGTATATGTTATGAAAAATATTATTGGGATTAATAAAGTGTGTTTGAAAAGTTTTAAATTATCACGATTACCAAATCAATACTTTAGTCCGAAAGGGGCTGCAGACCTAGACGGATTAGGGTGTTACAGAACTCCTTTAAAAATGTATAATTTAGATATTATTTTCTAACTTTTTCCTTACTTTATACTACCTCCGTCCCACTCTCTTTGTCCACTTTTGACTTTTGGAACTGTTCATCTAAGCACTTTGACTCATCAAAATCTCTCAATGTGTAAGCCTAAATATAGTCATGTGTGATCTTGTTTGATTTGTCTTAACATATAGATTATTAATATATAATTTTTTAATATACAAATTACAAGATAAAATAGATTAAAGAAGTGCATTGGATGGTGTGCCAAAAGGTAAGTGGACAAAGAGAGTGGGACGGAGGGAGTAATTTAGATATTATTTTCTCTCTGTATTAAACATTATGATTAAGTGTCCACTTTAGATATTGTAATTTTCTAAGTTAAAAAATGCCTAGAATTAAAATTTTAATTATTTTTAAAATTATCAAATGTTAGGCGTTAGAATACACAATAAGAAAAGATGAGAGTAAACTGAAATGACAGTAATAGTTAGGAGGGAGAAGTATTGAGGTAGAACTCAAAATAAGTAATTTTGATACTTTTTTTATATTTTACTTCTATAATAGTCTTTCTCTTCTTTAACGTTTTCGCTTTGTTCTAACTTAAACGTATTATTTTTATTCAATGGAATAATTAATTTACATAAAAAATAAATTGAACATATATTATCAATAGAAAGAACTATGATGTTTTTTACATTGTACTCATTATAATTAATCAAAATACATTAGAAAAAAGTTTAAAAATTACTCATAATTATCGTCTTATTTTTCTACTTCGAAATTATATTCTAGTCGCCGTATAAGGTATATATTAGGCATATTAATTAGAATTTGATATTTCTATATTTTAATATAAAAGTGCCAAGTCATTAAAGTCATCAAAGATGGCGGATGAATCATAAAAAACTTGCCAAGTAAACCCGCCACATGTCGACATTCTGTGAGCCTGAGTCTCAAATATTACGGAGTATAATAAAGGATTAATTTTCTTTGAGAGGTCTAAAAAAGGGTAGGAATAATGGGACAAAATAAGTCAACTCCTTATTTATTTCACCGAAAAATGTATTTATGCAGAACCAGTATGGCCGAAGTAGCATTAAAAAAAATTAGCCTGAAATAGAAATGTAAAAACCATAAATGCTCACTCTGACAGTCTGACCTCCGTCTCAAATTATTTGTCACATTTCTATTACCGAGATAAAATATTAAGTTTTTTCAATTCATTTTATTTACGTATTGTAAAGAAATAAAAAAATAAAAATTACATATCAAAAAACTACATGAAAAGTTCTTCGAATTAAGAGGTGTCAAGAATATTTTTTTATCAAATAACCAATGAAAACGTAGAAATAAACAAAATTTTCCGTGACTGTTGAAAAAGCATATGTGACAAATAATTTGGGACGGAGGGAGTAGATAATAACTGATTATACGAATGACTACGAATGTGGTCATTAACAATAAGTATTAGATAATGAGTAAATATTTCAATGACTATTCAAGTTGTTTTTAATGATGTCTAATTCTACTTGATTTGTGTAAATCATTTTTCATAAAGGCATAACATTTTAGAACTTTGCATGGCCAAACATTAAAGTTGATAGGACTTGTAGAAAAAGTAACATGTTTAATTTCTATTTGCGTAAATTACCCATTTGATTTTACATTATGTTTGGGAAAGAAAGGAAGCGGAAAAAAATGAAACAAATGAGAGGAAAGAAGTGAAGTAGAAGAAAATGGAAGGGAGGATTAAATTACCTTGTTTGGTTGGATGGTAGTTAGAAAAGAAATTTTTATACAAATAAATTTATGATTACTTTTTTAAACATTGATCAAACACAAATGTTTTATACTTCGTTCGTTCTTAAAAGATTGACACAGTTTGACTTTTTTGGTAAAATTATGGCATCCTTTTACCATAAATTAAATATAGTTTAAAATAATTAAATCTGATAAAATTTTGATATTTCAAAGCTATATTTTAAAATAAACTCAACTTTAGTAAATTTAGATTATAACTAAAAATATTTTTTCTATAATTCACGATTAAAGGCAATCTTTTAGGATCAGTGAGAGTATAATGATTTTATTATATTTTGACTTATGGACATGGCCACATGGGTATGAAAATATAATTTTCTCTGTCTAATTTAATTTGCATTCTCACTATTCATAGTTAGACCTTAACTATTTTCTATACTCTTTTTTTACTCATTTCATAAAATAATATAATCATGTCACCTTATGTATTCTATAATTTTTTATATAGTCATTAAATATATAAATTTCTTTTTTTAAATTCCACGTCAATTTTATCTTGTTTTATACTGTATAATTTTTGATGTAGTGTTGAAATATCAATTTGTAAATTTAAATTTTATGCCAATTTATAAATAAAATAATTTAATTTTTTTATACATGTGTTTAAAAAATAGGACGATATTTTGTTAGACAGATATAATAATAGTTTGCATAAGTTCTTTTAATGATACACATTAATTTTTGAATAGGATTTTGATAAAAATAAAAAATATTGTTTGTATTTTTTCTAGACCATATTTGAAAAAGAAGAATTATCTCAAATAACCTCACCTTTTCGTGCTCTTTCAAAAATAATCCCACATTTTACTGTTACCGGAAATAATCCCACATTTCCGCATGTGTGCGAGTTTTGGATCACTGTTAAAAAACTAACGGTCACTTCATGAAATTTTTGAAAAATGTCTGTTTTTTGCTGATAAATGAAAGGTGGGTTTATTTTAGGTAAATTCTCTTTTTTTTGTTGTTTTAATTTCTAACTTTGAATTAAAATGTATTTTTAATTTTTTTCTGGGAAAAATATTACCAAATTTAAGTGTTTTTCGAGGTGAAACTAATTGTTATTTTCAATAATCGATAATCTCGTAATAATTAAAAATAAATTATTCTACACAATAAAGCTAGTTTATTTACTTCATAACTCACTACATTTTTTTGTAATTTACAATTATTTTTCTTGAGAGCATTTCGAATTGTTTTTTGATACTATATTATTATTATTTCTTATAAAATGGCACTACAAAATTGGTGAATATTTTTTGATAATTCTATATAAATATTTTTCGTGAAACAACATTGCAATAATTGTGAAAATAACAAAACAATTTATTGATAATCTTCTATTGCCTATATTATTTTTTTCTAAAATAGAACTATCTAATTTGTGATTTTTTTGATAATTCAGTACAAATTTTCCCCCAAAATAGTAATCAAAAGTTGTGAAAGTGGCACAATATTTTTTTTCTTGATCGATACTCTGAATTATTTTTGATAATTCAATATTATATTTTCCGAGAACCGAAAACAAAATCTGTAAATCGTTAGACAAATCTCTCTCAAGAGTGTACTGTTATATTTTTAAAAATATTAATTTTAAATTTTAAAAGTAAAAATTAAATTTACCTAAAATAATCCATCTTTTATTTATTTGCGAAAAAAGACATTTTCTAAAAATTACGTTAAGTGACCGTTAGTTTTTTTAACGGCGATCCAAAACTCGCACATACGCATAAAGATGAGATTGTTTCCGGTTGATGGTGTAAAACCGTGCAAATACTAAGTAAGAATAATCAAAAGAGGTGTAGGTGGAAACACCTGTAACCCAATCTGTTATTAATGATAATATGACATTTTACAAAGTTACAAGCCGTGCGGTTTAATTAAAGCATGCCTTTCTAATGAGGCTTTTAAGCCTATTTATAATACTCCGTAATAAATAAGCACGTCAAGCACGTCTCGACGTTACTGTTCTTCCGGCCGGTCAGTATCCAACCGGTCAATAAGCATGCCTTTGTCAGTCGAAGCCATGTCTTTGATTTCGAATCTTCTCATACTTGACCGGTCAGACTGCCCAGGTCGACTAAGTCAAGGAGCGTTAGACTTAGGTACCTCCCGGACGGTCGCGGACCTACCGAGTGGAATCAATGGGTTAATACCCATTACCGGTGACAGTGAAAAATAAGATTATTTTTAAAAGAGCGCGAAAAGTGGAATTATTTGAAACAATTTTTCCATTTGAAAATAACATTTAGAAATCACCCTAAATAAGTCTAAAACATAGAGAAAAGTACCAAAATAGAAATTTTATATTTTTTCACGAAATAGGACTTTGCACTGTGGTAATGTGGTAGTGTACATGTGCACATTACTATACTTTTTTGGTAATGTACATGACAATGTTTGGTAATGTAAGTCCTATTTTGAGAATAAAAACATGAAAATCTTATTTTATGTTTTACTCCTACTTTGGTCTTTCTCTCGATAACATTTTGCAATGTATCTTAGACGAGTTGCCAAATACTTCAATGGAGTACAAATTTCCCTCACGAGAGTCAACAGTCAACGCAAGGAATGGGTGTAGGCCAAACCCAAACCAAACGTGCCCCGTTGGGAGTCTCTCCTACTTGAAGTGTATGAACCAAACCAAACCCAAACCAAACGTGTACCTCCTCTCACATTCCCCTCAGATAGGGGTGAGGCGCACTGGAGCTATTTCACGTTTTTTGGAGAATGAAATTGTCAACCCCGTTTTCCTGCTCCGATTCCCAGAATCTTTTCCTGATACATTAAATACTCCCTCCTCCTCCTCCTCCTCCCCACCACCACCAGTCCAACAAACCAACTTCTCAGGTTTCTCATCAATGGAGGACGACGACGTTTGTACCAAGGACGGAACCCTGGACTACCGGAACCGGCCGGCAAACAAGAAGAGAACCGGCACCTGGAAGGCCTGTCCTTTTATCCTCGGTAATCAGTACAGATTTCTGTCGATTTTTTACTCATGTTTGTGTTCTTCATTCATTCATTCTGCGAATCTGCGATTCCGTCCTTTCATTAATCGATCGAGATTCAATGAATCTGGACAGGCAACGAATGCTCCGAGAGATTGGCTTACTACGGCATGAGTTCCAATCTCATGATTTACTTCCAGACCCGACTGAATCTGTCCAACATTAGCGCTTCCAAAAACCTCTCCAATTGGTCTGGAACTTGCTATGTCATGCCCCTCCTCGGCGCTTTTCTCGCCGACGCCTACCTCGGCCGGTACTGGACCATTGCTAGCTTCTCCATCATCTATGTGATTGTAAGCACTTCAATTCATTCAGCAGATACATATAATCTTGTTGTTTTGTGATTTGTTGATGTGGGTTATATATATATTCAAGGGGATGACTCTTTTGACAATGTCTGCGACGGTTTCTGGCATCAGCCCCACTTGTACAGCGCCAGACAAGTGCACCGCGACTGGGAGACAGACTACGGTGTGCTTTCTGGCGCTGTACCTGGTGGCGCTGGGGACCGGTGGGATCAAGCCGTGCGTGTCCTCTTACGGTGCCGACCAGTTTGACGATGCGGACGAGGAGGAGAAGAAGCAGAAGAGTTCCTTCTTCAATTGGTTCTATTTCTCTATAAATATTGGGGCGCTGGTCGCCTCGTCTTTGATTGTCTGGATTCAACAGGACGTGAGCTGGGGGTGGGGGTTCGGCGTCCCTGCTGTCGCGATGGCCATTGCTGTTGGGTTCTTCTTCTCGGGAACACGCTTGTATCGGTACCAGAAGCCCGGGGGCAGCCCCTTGACGCGCCTGTGTCAGGTGGTTGTGGCTTCATTCAGGAAACATAAGGTTAAAGTGCCTTCTGATGGGTCGCTTTTGCACGAGACGTCTGGCGTTGAGTCTAACATCAAAGGGAGTCGGAAACTTGGTCACACGAATGGATTCAGGTGAGTTTTTAGAGACTTGGATAGGTCAACAAGGCTCTGATATCACGTTAAAAGAACCAACTAATTAACCTACAAGCTCGATCAAGCTTGTTGTTATTAAGAGGTTCAGGAAAGATTTTTTATACTCTAAGAACGGTAAATGTATGATTTTTAGGTTCTTTGACAAGGCAGCAGTGGCACTAGAATCCGACGACAAGAAGGGGTCGGTTAGTGGGTGGAGACTGTGCACCGTGACCCAGGTCGAGGAGCTGAAGTCGATCATACGATTGCTCCCAATCTGGGCCACGGGCATAATCTTCAGCACGGTGTACGGGCAAATGAGCACACAGTTTGTGACACAAGCCGAAGGAATGAACACTCGGGTGGGGAGGGCCCCCCAGTTCAAGATCCCCGAGGCGTCCCTGAGCGTTTTCGACATGATCAGCGTCATCGTGTGGGTCCCAATCTACGACAAGATCATAGTCCCGATGGCGAGAAAACTCACGGGCCAGAAGACAGGCCTGACCCATATCCAGCGAATGGGGATCGGGCTGTTCATATCCATCCTGGCCATGGTTTCCGCGGCCGTGCTGGAGATGGTCAGGCTCTCAATGGTTAAGAGAGACAACCTTTACGACACCAAGGAAATACCCATCTCTGTCTTCTGGCAAGTGCCCCAATACTTCATCATCGGATGCGCAGAAGTGTTCACATTCATAGGACAACTGGAGTTCTTCTACGACCAAGCACCGGACTCCATGAGAAGTCTGTGCTCTGCTCTATCCCTCACAACCACTGCTATAGGGAACTACCTCAGTGCTCTCCTTGTCTCCATTGTTACAGACATAAGTACCAGGAATGGGAAGCCTGGGTGGCTGGCAGACAACCTCAACTACGGCCACCTGGATTACTTTTTCTGGCTTCTCGCTGCGCTGAGCGCCATCAACCTGGGGGTTTTCGTTGCCGTGGCGAAAATGTACACATACAAAAAGGCCATCAACAGGGACGACTCCGACCTCGCGGTTGCTGAGAACTTGTAATTCCTAAAGCGGTTTCAGTTCTTCGTGTTGATGTAAAAAAACTCATACGGATTGCTCTTTTCTTTTTCTCTTCTTCAAAGGAATATGATTACAGATATGAATCAATCAATCTCTTTTTTCATTTGTTTAGCCCCATAATGCAAGCTAAGCCCCTTTTTTTCTCATATTGTGGATGCAGATTTGTTCTTTAACTTCTTTTCTTTCACAATTGTTTATCCGTGAGAAATGGTAAATTGTGTATTTATTTTATATAAAAAGTACCAATAATATTGGGGAATTTTGGGTTTTCAGATCACGGATTGGCATGAAAATAAAGTAGAGAATCCATATAAAATGACAATTTTGGTAGAGGGTCTTTTTTCCACTTATCCCTTTTCCCTAAATGCCAAACTCAGGCTACCCTTTTTTCGGCTGGGGATTAAAAGAAAAAAAAATTCCCTTTTTAGTGGATTCCACACTTTTATTCTTTGTGTTTGAGAGACCATTATTTTACTCTTTTTGTCTCCCTTTCTTTTCTTTTCTTTTAAATAAAACATGAATGGCAATATGGCACCTGTTAGTGATATTGGGTCTATTTGGGAATAACGTTAGAGATTAGCATTAACGTTTTGGATAAAATTTTAATGGCGCAGATTACTTTGAAAATGCTAAAGCTAAACGTTGTTTGTAGATAAGCTTTTTAAATCGCTAATGCTATTTTCAAACAGGCACATTGTTTTACTCAGGTGTTCCTTTTGAACGTCTCAACAAATATTTCACTCATTTCATTTTCTTTAGGGATAAACAAACCTTTGCATCAAATTTAAATCATCAAAACACTAGCAACAAAGTTCGGAGGGGGGACTTTCGAAAAATACTTGACTTAATTTTAATTCACTTTACTCACTCATCTAATTAAACATAATTTAATCATACAGTTTAATAGATGTACAAGGAACAATGGGTATATAACAAAGTACACTCCATTGATAGTCCAATGCGTTGACAAAGTAGGTAAAGTTAGACTTTGGTATTGACTGGAATATGTGCAATGCAACCAACAAATGATGTGTTCTAATTAATTTGATCATTATCTCTTTTCATATATTCCTTTTTTTCCGATTAATGTCAGAATTACAAATTAAATATTCACGGAATATATAAAAATTACTATTTATGTGTTTTAGTTTTTATCTTTTATTTATTTTAGACCATTATTCAAACTTATTAGTCATTACCTAACTTATTTGGCAAGTTGTGAATTTTGTGAATATTTTTATTTATAACTCGAGCATTACTCGAAAGGATGGAAGCAAGTGATCACTGAGAGTTTGAGACCAATTGCAAAGAAGTTACAGATACTCTTAACAATTCCCTAAATGATTGGTCTTATTTCTCTTTTATTATTGGCAATTGTAAAACATTCTTAGCCTCGTGTGGTAGAGTTTTTAGTTTTCATTTTATGTTTCGCTCGGCTAATGAGGCAGCGTATCTGTTAGCGTGCACTCCTCATTCACTCTAGAGCATGGGAGAGTGGGTTGGTCCCCCCGACTATAGATCCTGTGTTATCATGAGGCTTGATGAGGACTTGACCACCGCCACATATGCACCATGTGGTTTGGCCCTTCCATCAAGCTCCATCACTTATAGATACGTAATGATGAGGGCTTGACCAATTTTTTTATTTTATTTTATAGATAATATTTTTTTGTAAACATATAAATTAAAGTATTAACTTAAACATACTTTGAATGGAAAAAAATATGAGAAAAAAGATCTAACGAAAAAAATAACAAAAATGATAAAAATACAAGAATAGAAAAAAAAATACATTGAAACACATTAGGGAAAAACATAACTAGTCTTCCATGTTCAATTTAGCATGGATATTCTCCTTCACCTTTTTGGAATCTTCTCTAGCACGCCAGTTAAATGATCCGTTGGAGTCCACAACATGCGCATGTGGTTGTTGTATTGTTTTTCTTGTTAGAGAGAAACAAACGTCTTCATGTACATTGATATCTTATCCAACTTCTCTTCCAACTTGCTATTACTCCCTAAGGATATTAGACGTTTTCCTCGGTTGTTGCGACCGGGTGGGCAATAAGGTTTGGGAGGCATGGAGTACTCCTCGTCATCTTCATCAAAGCCTTTCAAAGATATTTCGACTATAGACGAGGAATGGCCCGACCCCACGTCGGTTCACGAATCTGTTTTTAACCTTTTTGACACTCGAAGCCTCGTGACCGTATGCCACTTCATGGATTCACGCATGACTTTCCATTCCTTGATACTCGTGAACGCGCCACGCTCACGAGTGTATTGGGACAACGCATCGACCAAAACTTGTTAGTCATTTTGGTCATTCTTTTGCGAGCTTTTCACCTCATTCTAAATCCCGCAAAATTTGGAAACTTTCGCTTGCATGTCTTGTCATTTACTCGAGATCATGTCGTTGGTGCGGTATTGGGCACGACCCATCGTCTAAAAAAATTGACTCCGAATGCGAGTCCAAAACTATGACGATGTTTGATTACGCCCTAAAAAAGATTAAACTTAAGTTGTTGGGTAATTTACCTAAATAGGACTAAAACATAATGATTTTCTCAATATAGGACCATATGTTTTTATTTCTTAATGTAAGACCATTGCTCATTATCTATTAATCATTATTCAACTAAAAATTATTAAGTCTTATTTAGGGAATAAAAAAGTTTAAGTCGTGCATTGGGCAATGACATATATTTTAGTCATATTCAGTGCAAATTTCACAAAAAATACTATACCCATACCAATATGAGGATCTTCGAAGGTGTCGATGTAGGATCTGGCAAGTGCAACCTCCTCCTTTTCTGTCCATTTGATCATACCAGGATTTGTAATTTTTGTTGCCTTGTCGACACCTCTTTCTTCTTGTGTTTTCTCTTCAAGAGTCTCAACCCGGAATCGGTGGCGGGTTGGAATTGAGGAGATGCTTGGAATTGGGTTTTGGGAATGAATTTGTTCCCATATTTGAGTGTGGGTTGGGTAGTTGGAACGACGGGCTAGGAAATTCGCCCGGTTGGATTTAATTCGAGTAATTATATGTAGGATTTGTCGGTGAATTTGGAGAATTTAGATTATTTGGGTCGATTTAGGGTCTGATGGGATTAACCCGATCGGATGGCGGACTAAGAACGTAATATGAATCAGAAAGATATAATCTCGTAATAATATTCTTTGATTAAGTGCAGAATTGCTTGAGTTGTCCCTTTACAATGGCGGGTTCTTTCCCCTTTTATAGTACTTCTAACATTGTAATTAAAATTATACATAATGGGAGGAATTATGGAGATTATGGGGTTGTGATTCCCTCTTTTCCGGTCTCGTTCTCTTCCCATCTCGTCCATAATCTGGTGGTGTGGGCCACGTGTCCCGTTCCTTCTTTGGACTGGGTCGTCTTGATTTAATCCATGATTGGGCCGTCTTTTTCCCATTCGCCATGCGTGTAGTAGCGGGCTCGGCCCGTTACCCCCACTTGGCCTTTTCCATCTTGCGCTATTATGGGCCTTTATTGGGCCTGGAGTCGGGTCCGTCAGACTCGATATCCATCACAAGCCCCCTAGTTTTCTGGCGACGTGTCGCTAGAAAACTAATGATGAGCCGCCTTCGGTTTTCGTGTCGGATTAGAAACATCGCACTCGAGTGCCTTGGGTCCCTCCTTTCAATGGATATAACCCCTTCTGGACTCGTCTTCTTCCTCTTTCCTTTCCTCAAGGGTAACATACCTTCCGGCCCGGACCATTGCTTCTTCAAAGGTATCCGGGGGATGAGTTGTAAGATCAGTATGAAGGAGACCATCCCGTAATGTCGCCGTGAACATGGCCAACCTGGATTTATCGTCGGTTCCTTCAACCTCCATGGACTCTTTCCTCCACTGTATTAGGAAATTCTTCAAGGATTCTCTGTGCTTCTGCCATACTGAAGCCAGGTGAGTGAAATGCTTCTTGGGTCGGCAGTTCCCATGCGAAATGTTCTAGGAACCGCAAACCCAACTCATCCCATGTCCGGATCGATCCGGCAGGAATGTGATTCACCCAATCTGCCACCTTGCTATCCACCGTCTGCAAGAAGCATCGGCACATCAATGCATCGCTGGCATCAATGGCAATCATCACCTGGACATAGCTGTTTATGTGTTCCTGGGGATCCGACTCCCCATCATAACGCTTAACGAACGGCATCTTGAATCCCTACGGATACGGTTCCGCAAAGATCTCTGGGGCAAGGGGAGTATTCGTCCGGGTAGTGAATACTCGTCCCCTGTTTATCTTCCTCTGCATCTCCTGGATCTGTTACCTCAGATCCTGGAATTCGCCGGCTTCCGGTACTTGCGGCCCCAGACGCTGCGGTGTTGGGACCCTGACCTGGCTCTGAACTTCGTCTTCGTTTAGGACCACCAGTGACCGCATCGGCGCTTGGCTCCCACCGCGGCCGATTCGTTGCCGCGATTCGCGATTAGAGGATGTCACCTGATTGGCCTGGGGTCGTACCCAACCCTGGGGTGCTTTGTCCGGATTCAGACCCGATATCCATCAGGGTCGATAACAATCGAAAAATATTAGGATATAGAAAATTTGGATGATTCGAATCCTTGATAAAAGAAATTGAATTAAAGATGAATGAAGAAGAGATGAAGATGACGTGTGGAGATGGTGGGGTTTTTGATTAATTTATAGGGCGCAGGAAACGAAACGAGCAACACCCGTGGTCAACTTCATGGCCTCTCCGAAACGCCCCCCGTCACGCCCCGGGAGTCGCCATGGTCACGGCATGGGGGCGTTACGGGCCAATCCACCGCACACCCCATAACCCATGGTCTTATTGTTTCGTCTATTACTTGGTTTTCAAAAAAAAACATTCTCCTTCTAAGCTGGAGCTCTTAAAAACACTGCCACAACGTATTCACAAAATGTAAGAAGTAATTAACTTGGCGTGTAGGATTATTTCGTAGAGACGCAGAGATAATTATTGTTTGTGGGACTAAAATTATGCCAAATTAGGTGCAGGCGAGAGTACCATTGCTCTTACTCCGTATTTCTTTCCGGTCTTGCTTCTTTTTCTTTTTTCATTTTCTGGGATTTTCTTTCTTTTTCTAGTAAATCGTAATTGTGTGTTCTTGGGAAATCTTAATTAACTTTGAGAAAATTTCATGTGAATGTCGAAATCAAGATTCCTGCTTCAATTTCTGTCTCCTAATTTCTCATATCTTTCAGCTGCATGATTTCACACTGTGAAAGCAATGGCAGATATGAAGAGCAGAAAAGATGAAGATCTTTACACCAAAGATGGGACTGTGGATTATAAGGGTAACCCTGCCAGAAAGAGAGAAACTGGCACCTGGAAAGCCTGCCCTTTTATCTTAGGTATGTTTATTCTCATGAACTTTCACTGTTCATCACTGTCTCTAAGTTCTTTTTTATTAAAAACATGAATCTCAACTAGTTAACAGTTGAGAAAGAAAAAAAAAGAAAAAGAAAATGGAAAGTTTGTTCATAAAAATGGTAGGAGGTGAAGCTTTGGTTTGATGAGCAGGAAATGAATGCTCTGAAAGGTTGGCATATTATGGGATGAGCACAAATCTGGTGTTATATTTCAAGCACAGGCTGAACCAGCACAGTGCCACTGCTTCCAGAAATGTCTCAAATTGGGCAGGAACATGCTACATAACGCCCCTCATCGGAGCCTTTCTCGCCGATTCCTACATGGGAAAATACTGGTCTATTGCCGCCTTCTCAATCCTCTATGTTTTTGTGAGTCTTCATCTCCTTACAGCATGTTTTGTTAGACTCATTTGGGTAAAACATATAAATAAGTCAAAAGCTAATGTCTACATTATGTTTGGCACAATAAAAGCTAATGTCTAGATTATGTAAACCAAGAAGTTGTTGCCATAAGAACAGTCATGAGGGGCTCTTATGCAATGTGTGCAGGGAATGGCATTGTTGACACTGTCAGCTTCACTTTCTGCACTAAAGCCAACATGTTCCAATGGTGTTTGTAATCCAACAGTGGCTCAAAGTTCAGTTTCCTTTATAGCACTTTATGTGATAGCCCTGGCTACCGGTGGGATCAAGCCGTGCGTGTCATCCTTTGGGGCAGACCAGTTTGATGATGGTGACGGAGTTGAGAAAAGGCAAAAGTCCTCATTCTTCAACTGGTTCTATTTATCTATTAACATAGGTGCACTGGTTGCTTCTTCTGTCCTCGTTTGGATGCAAGATAATGTGGGGTGGGGGTGGGGATTCGGCATTCCTGCAGCAACCATGGTTATTGCTGTCGTAAGCTTCTTTTCAGGCACAAAATTGTACCGGAAACAGAAACCGGGTGGTAGCCCTTTGACAAGGATATGTCAAGTGGTGGTAGCCTCTTTACGAAAGTGTCAAATTGAAGTGCCAAAAGAAAAGTCACTTCTGTATGAAACTGTAGATCCAGAGTCTGCCATCTTTGGGAGCTGCAAGCTTGATCATACCAATGGTTTTCAGTAAGCATATATAGTTTCATTAGCCATTCATGTTTAGCTTTTGTGATATATGAAATACATTACCTTATTATTGGCTTGTTTTTAAATGTTTGACACAGATTCTTTGACAAGGCAGCAGTTAAGACAGAGTCAGACAAAAGAGAAGGCTTGATAGATAATGATCCATGGAGACTGTGCACAGTGACTCAAGTTGAAGAGCTGAAAGCGGTTGTGAGGATGCTACCGATTTGGGCCACTGGGATTATCTTCAGCACAGTGTATAGCCAAGTGACGACCTTGTTCGTGTTGCAAGGCGCAGCCATGGACACTCGTGTGGGCCCTACCAAATTCAAGATCCCGCCAGCATCGCTCAGCATCTTCGACACTCTCAGTGTCATCTTCTGGGTACCCATTTATGACAGGATCATAGTCCCCGTTTCAAGAAAGTTCACGGGCCATGAAAACGGGTTGACCACACTCCAGAGAATTGGCACAGGCTTCGCCATATCCATCTTTGCCATGTCATCCGCGGGGATTCTGGAGCGAAACAGACTCGAACATGTGGAGGAGGTTTCCATGTCAATACTATGGCAGGTTCCCCAGTACTTCCTCATAGGATGCGCGGAGGTCTTCACTCTCATAGGGCAATTGGAGTTTTTCTACAAGCAGGCACCAGATGGCATGAGAAGTTTGTGCTCGGCTCTCTCACTCACCACTGTTGCATTAGGTAACTATCTTAGCTCTTTGTTGGTCACTGTCGTAATGGGTATTACAGCAAAGAATGGGAAGCCAGGGTGGATTCCAGATGATCTGAACCGTGGGCACGCGGATTACTTCTACTATCTGTTGGCAGCTCTTAGTGTGATGAACTTGGGAGTTTTTCTCTGGTTTGCACATTGGTATACTTACAAAAGGCCAGTGAGGACTCTTAGTTGACATGTTCCAAAACCAATGAGATTTATTATAAATGTATGGAGATTTGGAGACATAAATTTGAGGTTTTTGTTGTTCTGGAAAACATGCTTCATATCATATATGACACCAATCCTAAAACAATAAAAAAAAACTTTTAAAAAATGTGTTTTCACAATAGAGAATATATTCAGTACAAAAACAAACTCAGTAAACAAAAGTGTGATAACAATACAATATTCTTTGGCATTTGATAAACAATGGTGGTACATTTATGGTAACTATGCCATTCAATTCAGAACATTTTCAGAAATACAATCAGAGTTCAGCAGCATACTTCTACTACTACTACTTTTGCTCCTAGAAGTCTTCAGTGGCATCAAATAAAATGGTAGTACACCACCACCATCCAAGCTGCTAGAATTACATTTCCCATTTCTGTTCCTCTCTGCTAGAAGAAACCTCCCTTTATTGTTAGCATAACCATATCCAACACCTTCAGAAACACTACGCCTACCGGGAATCATATCAATCTTATCGGTCAAATTTCTAGCTCTAACAATGCTACTGCTACGTGCAAACCTCATCGGATTCTCAAGCTCCGGGTTTTGCTTCTTCTCCGAATTATCGGATTGCACTTCTCCTGTAGTGTCACTGAGTATTTGCTTGAAACCAAACACATTCCAGACCTTCTTCCATGTGGTGGCATTCTTCTTTGTTGATCTGTTCGAGTGTTTGTTGTTACAAGATCCAGCAGCAGCAGCAGCAGGAGGGGTTTCTATGGGGGGAGGTTCGAAAGATTTAAAGGAAGGGTCTTTGACAGACTTAAGGTGCCAATCTTTCAGTTCTTTCTCTGTGATGACCAGCTTGAGGCTTGCAGACTTAGTAGAGTCAAGATGATGCTGCTGCTGATGGCACTCTAATCCCAAACCTTTGTTATTGTCAAAGCTCAGTACAGAACTGGACCTGTCAGAACAACTCTCCCTCTGAGAGAAGGAAGAATCCGAATTGGACTGCCCAGAAATGTTCCTAGCTACTAAATAGCCATCCCAAGATGCTCTTGGCTCATCAATCATAATGTGAGGGTTTTCAACAGAAAATCGAGGTTCAGTATCACAAGATCTTCGACCCACCGCATTTTCCCCTACATCAGATTGTGTTTCCCTCAGATTCTCTGTTTTTTGGTTACCACTCTTTGTTATAGAAAACCCATCACTAGTATTAGCATTAGAACTAACGGGGTTACCGTCTTCTCCACTTTGGATCCTCTTACTATGTTGCTTATGCCTCCATTTTTGCAATTTCTTGCTGAAAACTGAGGCAGCTTCCCAGAAATTGCCAGCAATGACTCTCAAATCCTTTGACCTCTGTTTTCCACTCTGTATTTCGAGATCTATAAACTCCTTCATCGTCTTGAGCTCTCCTTCCATGTCAACATCATTCACATTCGGGTCAATTGGAACCGTAGCTTCTCCCCCAATTTCTGCATCTTTAATTGCCTCTCCGTCAAAACGACCTAACCGGGAGAATCCAATGTTCTTCGTTTCCACTTTGATGTCCGCGGAGGGTGGTCCGTCGTTGATGTCAAACAGAAGCGCGAGTGAGTTCCGATCCCTAACATCGCAAGACGTGCGACGGGGCTCGGAGGAGCTACACGAAGCGTCCGGGTGGACGCCCGAAACTGACCTGCACCGTCGGAGATCCGGCGCGAAGGAGGAAGAGGGATCTCCTACAGCAGAAGCTTTGCTCCGACGTCCATCGAGCCTGGCATTGCATCGACCATCGCCGGCGACGGAGGGAAGCAAGGAGGGATTGATGGGCAATGAAGAGAGCTCCGGGTCAGCGGAAGGGTCGAAACCGGAGAGCCGCTCGCGCAAGCAGGCGGCGCAAATGCCGGTAGAGGATTGGGTGCGGTGGCGGTAGCATGCAGGGAAGTTGCGGGTTCGGGTGCGGATCCGTGGATCGGGCTTTAGAGCCATTGATTAGGTTGGCAGGAAACCAGTGGGCTCATTATAATAAAAACACAGAGGAGTGGGAATCAGAAAGAGAGAGAGAGAGGGAGAGAGAGAAATGTGGAGAAAGTGAGAGTGAGAAAAGCAGAGCTCACACGGCGACGTGGGCCCGTTGTTGAAACCTACTCCCAATTTTGAGTAAATTCCGGAGAGAAATTTAATTCACAAATTTCTATTTTTAACATTTTAATAGAAATAAAATGTATTCAAATAATAAAATATTCTTTCCATTCTAAAATGTTTTTCTCATTTTTTACGAGGTTTGACTAACTTTATTTTCAATTCAATTTATTTGATTGTAGGTGTAAATTAAAAAGTAAAATTTATATATTTAAAAACTACATTAAAAGTTTTAATCGGTATAAATTAAGATGTGGTAAGATTATATTATTTTATCAAATAACTAACATAACTAGGTAAAAAAATGATTAAAGTTTAATCGCGTAATTAGTAACTGGAAAGAATGTTTTAGAAAGAAGAAGTATATTTTAATTTAAAATTCACAAAAGACAAGTTCTTAAAACATTTGTTTGTGAATCTTTCATTTCCAGAATTTGTTGAGTTCTTTTACTTAAAGTCCACATGTGGAATGTCGCACATTTTTTATGAAGAGACCCGTTCTAGAGTCACTGGAATCCAGTGGCTACGAAAGCCACTGCCCCTCTACGGAGCTCCGTTCATGAATTTGATGATTTCTACCCCATCTAACCCCCCGGTAAATCTCTACCCAAGTCTCAACCCAAACTACTCCCCCACCTACGTCAATTGCACCTCGCAAGTATAAAGTCAATTTTTTTTACTTTAAAGTCAATTATACTTGCGAAGTGCAATTGACGTAGGTGGGGGAGTAGTTTGGGTCGAGATTTGGTGAGGGGGTTTACCGGAGGGGTTAGGGGGGTAAAAATCATCAATTTTATGAACAAAGTTCCGTAGGAGGACAGTGGCTTCCGTAGCCACTGGATTCTAGTGGCTCTAGAACCGGCCTCTTTTATGAATTGGTGAGAAGATTTTTCCCCCTAAAAGGTCTCTTTTATGATTGAATAGAGTAATATTTATAAAATGAACATGAGGCTCCTTGGTGTGGGGGCGATGAAATCATTCGGCTTTGGAAAATGCTACGGTGCCACCACATGGATGCTACCATGGATGCACCCATGCTTCGCACAGACAAACACAGACGATAATTGTCTGTGTCGCACAGACAATTATCGTCTGTGTTTGTCTATTATCGTCTGTGTTTGTCTGTGCGAAGCATGGGTGCACCCATGGTAGCACTCATGTGGTGGCACCCTAGCATGGTCCTTCGACTTTTGGGTGGACGACTACCCAAAGGAGAACACCGCCCCCACCCCGATGGAGACTCGGCTCAAGGGGATATATTGAAGATGCCAATTGTCTTTTACTTTTTCTTTTTCTCTCTTTCTTCTCTTCATCTCTCTCCTCCTTTTGCTTCTTCATCCTCAGAGGGCAAATTATATGGTACATCCAGCTGTACCTTCCTTTATGTACAGCCTGATATTTTTGTAAATTTTGCAAACTTTTTATCTAATACCCAGAACATATATGAGAACTATTATATATGACAATGAGTATTAACAGATTTGAGAAAGAGTATCAGCACTTATGAGAATTATTATATTCTTATTCAATACAAACATGAATAAACATGAGTTTTAAATTCTCTATGCTCAGAGAGTATAAATAAGTAGGAACAAATCGAATAGATGAATATCCAACGAAAAGGGTATGGATGAAAAGGGTATGGATAAAGAAGTTGATGATGGTCCTGAACTTTTTAATTGTGAAAAAATTGAACAATACTTTATTTCAGAATGAACATTTCCTTATTTGAGAATGAGTATTGTTTTTTTAATAATGAACACTACGCTATTTCACATTAGATTTTATGATTTTACATAAAAGTAATCCATGTGTATTTGTCTATTTTGTATTCTTTCTATTTGCACAATATAAAATAAAAAGCTTAAAATATACGTAGTACTACGTATTTAATTGATCACAATATTTTTTTAATTCGGTCCAATTAGTTTGGACCAGTTCAGTTCTAAGTATTTCGGTCCGGTCTCGTCCGGTCTAAATCCGACTAAATTCAATAACCCTATCCCTGCTTGCAGCTGTGATAGATGTATGAAACCTTTATATATTCACATTCAGGTAGAGAACATGAAGAGTCAGATCAAATACAGTCTCATCTCAGATCAACAAACCTCCATCATATAAAAACCCCTACAGATAGGAACTATATAAGTAACAAATAAATATAGATAAAACACCAAGAAACACGCCTGACAATGGTCGAACCATACCATACATGGAGCCTTCAACGAGAAGGCGATGCAGACTCGGGCGTAACAGATCGCGAATGAGATCTTGAAGATGCACATGTAGCAGCACTACCCCTGGACTGAGATGTTGAAGAGGATGTGCTTCTTGAATATGCACTTGAAGACCAACTAGATGTGGAAGTTGATGAAGACCCACTGTCCCGATCACGCCGACCACGTCTATGAGAACGATAACCATTCCGTCTGTAACTCTTCCTCACCATTGGAGACGAAACACTTCCTGAAGACCAACTAGAAGTGTAAGTGGAACTGTCCCAAACACGTCGACCACGTCTATGAGAACAAATACCATTCCGTCTGTAGCTCTTCCTTGGCATTGGAGATGAAACACTTCCTGAAGACCAAGTAGAAGTGGAAGTGGAAATGGAGGTGGTGGAGGTGGAAGAGGAGCGGTCCCAAACACGTCAACCGCGCCTATAAGAATGAGAACCATTCCATCTGTAGCACTTCCTTGGCATTGGAGAAACACTTCTAGAGTAGCTTCTTCTTCGATACCTAGGAGGAGACACACTTGGCGTGTAGCGTCTCGTGTACCTTCGAGGCCTTGGGGAGATGCTCCGAGAAATTGAACGATACCACCGGCTTCTTCGGTAATAGTAATAGTCTCTATCATCAGGGGGCTGATATCTGCTCCTTCTATAGTAGTAGTGGTGGCGGCGGTGGGAGTAGGGAGAATAGGGAGAGGGAGAGGGAGATGGATGTCTATGATAATATGATATATGCCTACGCCTATAATATGGAGAGTATGATCTGCTCCTGCTCCTGCTTCGCTCAGATGAGAGAGAGCGACTTCTTTCAGAACTTGGGGAACGTCGTCGATCTACATCAATGAAACTATTGTGGTTAGCTTTAGAGCCCATTTAATATACAAATTAATTGGTTGATGAAATTTCTAAAACAGAGAATACTTTTTGGAAGCAACCTTTCACATAAAGCCAAATATGACCATGCTTAGGGTGGTTTCAAAGAACTAAAATCCATAGTTTGGAAATAAAACTGGGATTTTATATGGCACTCACACGGAAGCAAATCCACCCCCAATAAAAATACGTAATTATCAAATAAACATGATTACGATAAGCCTCGGTAGATTTAGTTTATTATAACATGTTTTCATGTAGCAATTAAAATCATTAGACCAACCAGTGGAAACCAGCCCAATCAAAGCAGATCATAAAAGTCAAAATATATTAATTCAATACATTATAAGCAACTTTTTTTTGAGGGGATATACTTAATTCTTAATCTGCATCTTACAAGAAAAATAAGTCATTTTTTTGTGCAATACCAGCGTAAAAATGTAAAACTTTAAAAGCTACTAGAGCAATGTTATTATCATACCACGAACTGTTCTCATGCCAAGATACCTCCCAGGTGTTGGTGTGCGGCCTCTTCTCCTCCTAGCCTGATTAAGAGACCACAAATTACAACCTCCAACGACAAAAATAATAATTATTAAAAAAAGATTCACAATGATGAATATACTACAAGTATATAAAACAACCCTGATGACTATATGCGATCTGTTTGCTTTGATTTGTTAATTTGGCATTGGCGAAGAGCTGCTACATTTGCTGTCACAAAAACTTTGCAGACACAAGCAAACAACTTAAAAACTTGAATAATAATACCATAAGCAACAAATGATGATGCATATATTGAGTTATGGTTAGTAGAGACTAGAGGATGTATCCTAGAAATAGAGATATAAACAAATGAGGATGTTGGCTCATTACCCTTTCAACAGTAATAATCCGACCTTCAAGTACTGAACGGTTCAAATACTTGATGCACCGCTTGGCATCTTCCAGCGTGGACATCGTCACAAAAGCAAATCCCCGTGACTCTCTGGTCCATGGATCGACAACAAGATGAATATCTTGAACCTGAAAAGAAACAGTCAAAAGTAAGCTACATATAAAGACATGAGAATCAAGAGCAAGCAATCCAAGAACATGAATACCTTTCCCTCGGATGAGAAGTGATCTTCAAGATCCTGCTCTCTCACTCGGCTTGAAAGTCCAGTTACATACAAGTTATTTCCAGGATTTTCAACATCCCTCGAGTAATGGCTACTGCAATCCCATTAAGAATGCACCAATCAGTAAAAAAGAAACTAAGAATTGGACTTTCTGAATCTCCTCTGGAAATTGAACATGAGATATAACCTTGATTGGCTCCTTGAAAAAGATGGGGACATGGATATCGACCGTGAGACAGATATGCTGCTATACTTGTAAGAAGGAGAACGAGAGTACCTAGGGGAGCATTAGAACTATTGGAGCCAACCAAAAAATAAAAGGAAAAAAAAACAAGCAATCACAATGAAAAGACGAGATGAAGCATGAAATGCCAACTTCAGAACACACCTTGATCGTCTGGAGTACGACATCTGCAAGAAAAGTAAAGCTCTAAATGTTAGGATCAAGAGGAAGAGTTGAGTCCAAAAAGTGGTAAATAAATAACTCTTCAACTTCGTGAAGAGTTGAAAGAATTCAACTTCAAAGGCAAGAGGCCGTGCACAAGATATTGCCTAATCAGCAAGAGCGAACAATAAAGCAAAACTTATAGCATCTGTATAAGTTCACCAGCAACACTTTTTCTGTTCCGATATTGGATTGTATGTCAAATCAATAGCGTAGGAAGATATTGAGATTAATTTGATACTTGATTTATTAGGTCTATATTCTTACGATCAGCCACAACACTATCTTAATGCTAGTTAGGTTAACAAATGGAATCCTGTGGTTATAAAACAAAATCAACACGGGCAAATTTACCAGGTCCAAACATAGTAAGGATTGGCAGATTGAGAGCTCTTTCGAGGATAACATGTAAATTATTAATCCAAGAGTCAATACAGAGTACAAGGTACAAGTACAAAGCATCGGGGCATACCCCTATAAATCAAAGGCAAGTCATGCCAAACAAAAGGAAGAAACAATACACAACTAAACGACTATCGTCTTCTGGTTGTTGACACTGTCTCCCTCACACTTTTGCCATCCCAAAAGCTCACATGGTCGCCATTAGTATTTTGTAAGCTATTTGGGTCATTTGCAATAAGTTGTCTAAGCATATTTCGAGCAAGCTTTGGCCGTCGTAGTACCTTATGATTCACTCTCTACAAAGCTTTTCGAAGCAAATAATCAAGGTAGTCCTCCTCGGCTAGCTTTGCCTTTACCTCATTTTTGGTGGCCGGCAGCAAGTAGTTGGCTTGGACAACTTTCTCAACTCGTTTAGGGGCCGAGGTGGTTGGCACATCAGATTTGGCTTTTGCGTTGGTTTTCTTGGTACTCTTAGCCGAAGTTCCTGCCTTGCTCACATCCTTTTCCTCAACTTGCGCAGAAGTTGAGGGGGCGGCATTGAGCGTAGCACCAGTTCCATCAACAAAAGGTTCATCACCTCTCAAAGGCTTGGTTTTCTTCTTCCGCTTAGCTTCAGGGACCAGGTCCTTACCCCCTGCCGATGGCGTGGCAGTAGGCTCAGTTTGGCCTCCCTCAGCATCAGCCGTATCCACCACACTTGCCTTGACTATCTATTCGGGGAGAGGGGCCTGCTCAACAAGTTTTAGCATGACAGCAGCGTTGTCACAGGCCCCACTGCCAGCACCCGTGCTGCAATTGCTCCTAGCCCATGGTTTGTAGGAGTCCCTCCCTCATTGGCCGGTTTAGCCAGCCACTTGGTGTCTCTTGTAAATTTGTCAACAAAATCTCTGGTTTTCTTGAGGCGTAGGGCACAGAGAACCCTAAAGTCCAATAGGTTGTGTCTAAATTTTTTGCAATGATAGCAATACTTTGAGAGGCCTTCGTACACAACCTTTTGGCAATACTTGTCCCCATCAGGTAGACAAACCTCAAAGGAAGAGGGTAGTTCCTTTGACATGTCGACTTGAATCAACATTCTACAAAAACAAACCCTTCTCCTCCTCTTAGTTCCTTGATCAGTGCGCTTGGGGTTCCCACTCTAGACCCCAAGCAATCAAATGCAATTTTATTCTAGCATTGCAAAGGCACATCAATAAACTTGACCCACATGTCAACCGTCATGAAAGCATCAAAATTAAAGCGAAATACATCCGGAAAATGCGAAGTAAAGGATCATACCAAAGAGTGTGTATGACCCATTATAGAGAACCATCCTTCAGTCTTCATTACTAAGGAATTGGAAGATAACCCAACCTCGCTCGTGAGGGGAAAATTTAAACTGTATATGCCATGAGGAAATGAGTCCCTCAATGGCTTTGATGCCAGGAAACCGGCCAGTGAAGCAACCCACCAAACAGAACCCTAAATCTTCTTCAAGAAAGGAGTAACCCTCTGTCGAGATAATAACCTTCTCTCCATTCTCCAACCACAACTTTGTCTAAAAGGATTTCTTCACATGGACTCCGGTTTTCACCCAGCGGAAAAGTCTGCCGTTTAGGACGCTTTTCCATACTACAATTAAGACGACAAAACCTCTCGATTCTAAGGCTGAGCTATTCCCAATTCACTCGCCATTACTACAAAAATCTCTTAATGTGTATGTTGCGCCAAAGAATTTCATAATGAGTATGCAACCATTTAATAAAAATGACTCTTGACAATGGCTATCTCAACTCTGTCATCGATGAAGAATGTAGCAAAATGCGAACCTTGCTCGACTTCATCGTGGCATTCGTATCCTATGATTTAGTTGATGTCTTGGTGTGCAAGGGATGTACCAAGTGTGCATAATTGCCAACCTTGCTCGACTTCATTGTGGCATTCGTATCCTATGAAGTTGTCGGTGTTGGCTCTTTGATTGCAACCCCAGGAGAGAGAGACTACCTGTTGATTTTAAGCATATCAATAAGCGAAAGAGAAGAAACTTACAAAGATTTCCTTAGTAATCGTGAGTGATCTGGGAATAGTCAAGCCTTAGAATCAAATGGTTTTGCCGTTTGAATTGTAGTATGGAAAAGCGCCCATAGCGACGAACTAAGCCCAAGTCCCTTGAAAGGGGCGCCAGATAGGGTGAGAGCGCCATTGCACCTAGACTCTGTCGCACCACGAGATGCTGTCTTAGAGTCGGGTTGTTTGGGAATGCAACCCAAATTTGGTGGTGAATTCCGTTCAAGGCTAACGAACAAAAACCGCGACAGAAAAATAAAAAGAACTCTAAAAAAAGAGCCAAGGAGTGCTTGAAATTGTCGAGAGGAAAGCGAATGGAGACCGGCGATAAGCCCAAGTTGGATGTGGAACGGTGGTTAGTCGGTCTGCTGATAGACCCTGGGTATGGATCAGCAAGAATTTAGGCGGCGGTTAAAGCTCGGGCATTTGATATTCTAGGGGATTTCATCTCTTGTATTGTGGGAAGTAGTGCGCTCCCCGCGTGTGTTTCGACACTTGCGTACCCGAGTCGTTGACTTGTGTGCTCTCCATTTAACCCGTCTTAAAACACGGACCAAGGAGTCAACAAGTCAATCTATCGTGAGGTTGACAAGTGAAGATGACTATTACAACAATCGCTAAAATGAGGGAGATTTCTATGTCAGAAAAAAGAGATGACCACTACAAATTGATACAGATAAGAGATTAGTTTCTTCACCTTCCTGTGTCACTTTTGCATATGCACAATTCCACATGTGTTGAGCTCAAGTACTCCTGACCTCAAATACTCATGAAGACAAGCCTCCCCCTCACAATACGAGGAAAATACAATGTGGATATATCGTCTATTAGTCTCTTCCTAATCTCTCTCCACCAATTTCAATGTCCGGCAACGAAAATCTGCCGCCTGCATTTTCCTTCACCATCGCANCCCCCCCCCCCCCGCCCGTTCTGGTCAGGCAATCATGACCATTGTGCTGGGTACGATTGCAGCTGAGGGAAGCCAGAATGAACCTGCTGCCACGCTTTTGGTAGGGGTAAATGTGCTGATTACTGAAGCTAACCGGAAGAAGAAAAAGAAGACTTCGAAAGGTGAACAACCTGTTGTGGATGGATAGGGTGATCTGCTGGTTGGCACCATCTCCAATGCTATGCAAATTGAGGAAGTTGGGAAGATTAGCTTGGACAGTGAGGTATGTGAAGACCAAGCAACCTCCAAGCTAGTGATAACCAACCAAGAGGAGGAGATAGGCCACCAGCTTTGGCTAAGATCATCAAGAAGAAAACGACGAAGACCAGGTCTGATTTGGCAGCCTCCTCTCCCTCCTAAGCAAGTTGAGAAAGCTGTGAACAACGCCCAAGCAAACTCCTTGCTAAAGGCCACCAACAAAGAGGGAATGAAGAAGCTAGCCGACACCTTGGGGGGAGATAAGGAGCAAAAGTGGGAAGGATGCAAATTACATAAAGTGGAACTAACAAAAATGGTCATAAAACGCCATAAGATTCTCATAATCGATAGAACTCAACACTTTTTTGTAGAATAAATCGAACAAGCTATATAATACGCCTGGAGGAATTCGAATTACGTTGAAGGATGCAAATTACATAAAACTTCCAGAAAATCGAAGCGCAGGTCTAATGAGTGATTCAGATGAAGTTACCTTAATCGTCTTCCTTGGAGTGACTGAGCCCTCTTTTCCTTCTTCCTCTTGCGATTATGTGAAACAATGGACGCTAGAATGATCCAGAAAGTGGTGCCCGGCGACGAAAACGTAATTTATACTACCGGCTACGAATAGAAGGTTCTGGATGATCGGACCCGAAATTTGGATCCAACGTAGATTGTTGAAAATCCTTCTAATTGCTTCCTCCGGCCCAAAAAGCAATACAATTGGTTTTTGGAAGCTTCGTATTGGCTCTCATAAAAATATTTTATTTTATTGAAGGAAAAGTACGAAAATATGAGTAACATTAAAAACATATTAAAATAAGATATTTATATTTTTATTTTCGAAATAAAAGTTAAATTATATTTACAGTGTCAATCATGCCCATGTAAATTAGCAAAAAGTATTGTAAACTCATATTTTGGAGATAAAAGCATGGAACTCTTATTTTGGTATTTCCCGTATGCTTTACTCTTATTTAAAGTAATTTCTTTTGAACAATAGACAATAGACGCAACATGGTGACATCATTTTGAACTTAGCTTATATCATTAAAAAAATGAGTTTTCAAATCGTTCTAATAAATTGCTTTCTTTACTGAATCGAGACATTCCGTTTTACAATGGTACTGGACAAATTGTCAAAAAGTAAGAATTGGAATTCCCAAACTAAATCATTACTACAAAAATACCATATTAATCAACCAATTTTAAATTTGGTATTGTTATTTTTAAATATGTTTAATTCTTATTTCCTTGGACTCTTGGAGCGGTTTAACTTACTCAGTCTTATGTTCGTGTTCTTAAATTATTTTATTATTCTACAACAACAACAACCCAGTTAAATCCCACAGGAGAAATTATTTTATTATTCTGTACAACTCAATTTATACTTGTAAGTTTTATAAGAAAATTAAACTATAATTGTATCTTGTCAAAAATTACAACTGAACAATACATTGTTAAGTAAGAATGCATAAAAATAATGAAATGGTGCACCAATTTTTTTAAATTTTGTTGATTGTTTTTTTACGAATAAAAATATTTTCTAACAGTCAATGCACTAAGGATTGGTTTGAAATTGGTATGAAATTGTAGTGGGGGTGGCTCCAGATAAAAATAAACATGACTTTCCATCGATTGAAATTGCAATTTCCAACTTGAAATATGAATGCAATGAAAGAATCTGGTAATTTATATGGAGATTTACAATGAATGAATAAGGGCACATGTTCTCCTAATCAAAGCAGCAGGCAAGAGGCCAAATCCTTGTGGCTCATCTGAAGAATCTCTTAACCTAGAATTATGACACACAGTTTAAATGTACCAATTAGTAACAAGAAAACAATGAACAGATCCTACATTCAAATCGAGTCAATAGCATTGAAAAAAGGGTAACAAGAAAACAGATTCCGAAGAATATTAGGTCATCCCCGCATGTGGCTCTCGTCTTTCACATTTTCTACGCCTACCTAGCGACTTTGAAACTCATGATTCTCCAATTGATTTTATGTCATTCTCATATGTTTCCATACAAGCCCTTAGAACATCATGAGTTTCACAACTTTTGGAAAGTGATTGTTTGGATAATCTAGCCAAGTATTTCTTTGTGAGTATATTGAAGAAGTCCTACTTTTAAGTTGATGTACTATGCACTTACATGCTCAAGAGTCAAGAACATGATAGCATTCCATAATCCTAGTCGAGTGAAATTGGGAAGGAACCCCTTATACAAAGCAAAAGGCCCCTGCAAAAATGAATTCCTCACAATAAAGTTTTGGTGAACTAAATTCTCATTGCTCGAGTCTATCTCCAATGTCAAATTAGTAAAACCAGAAATATGAACTGTGAAAATGAAAGCAGTTTGATTTTTTAGCACGCCCTCTCAAGGTTGGGTAATGGACTAAAACTGATGGCCAATTGGGACAAAAAAAATTAATTATTGAAAATTTGAAACATGACTCTTTATGGAACGAAAAGAGTAATTGTGGTTTACACAATCCGACAATCTAAAAGAAAGGCCACACACACAATATTATAGCATGAAAAGTTCTAGCACCAGTGGTGATTTTAAAACAACAACAACAACACAGCTTCATCCCACTAGGTGGGTCGGCTACATGGATCAAGTGACGTCATAGCACCCTATCATGTACCATATCTACAATGAGCATCTAAAAATAAATCAAGACAAGTAGACGACTAGCTTCTATTTATTGTCCAAAAAGAGGACTGAAGGATAAGTATTCGTTTAAAGCTGTTGCTACATAAACAAGAGAAATTAAAAATATATGCTATGTATGACCACTTATTTCATGACCTTTCCCATTCTTAGTTGATAATATAGATGGTGGAGCCAAAAAGATAGTAGTCTTTAATTTCTAATGCAATAGAGGTTTCAAAAACGGAAGAAGAATACCTCAGTCTTTAAAGTTTTGAAAACGCAATCCAAAGTGCTCTTGTAAATTGAGTCTCCCATCATTCTAGACTTAACCTTTAAAATAGAAAATAAGCACAGAGTTCAGAATGAAATGAACACGTATACCACATACTCATATATAGTCTAAATGATTCTTTCGAAATCCTGCAATCATTCTCACTAGCTTAAATGGAAGCACCCTCAGTTTGTTTGGTCATCCATAATAATGTACACAGTCGCAGGTTGGCTTCACCCATACGTAGTATTTCATAATTCACATGATTAATCATTTGAAGAATTTGATACACTAAGGAAATGTTAGATTAAGAGAAAAATTTGGTAAAAATGACAGTCAATAATACACCAAAACAGTCAAATACAGAGTACTAATTAGGTTTCTCCTCCTAGGGGTTGTGCAAACTCTGTAAGCACCTTAGTGGTGTCAAGTGTCTACAGATTACTTCAGTTGAATATTTTATCCTCTAGTCTGAAATCAATATTATAGATATTAGCCTTACCGCATCCTCGAATTATTTTACTGTAAAACATTTCAATCGCAAGAAGAAAATAATCTATAACTGTGAGGGTATTGTGTTTTCTTGGAAATGCTACCACATCAACAGGAGAGCCAATACAGACTGCGAAAAATCCCGCTCCTAAACCCGCCAGGAGATGGGTTAAAGGACCATCAGTGAAGCCTGGAATTTTTAGGACGGTCTGTAAAAAGAGAAAGTGAATCTATGAAATATGAATTCGTGAACAACATCGGCTCACTGCAAATGCTTAATCGTACAGAGCGATACAAGGAATGTCGTGCGCACCTCTTTGACATGATCATAACTAGCTAGCTCAGCAGCATTTATAATAGCATTCCGTGCAACATTTGGCACAAGCCCTGTCCATAAAGCTGCAAACCCTTCCTATGATTCTAATCCGTTAAGCTCAAAGCTATACATATCAGACTAGCTATATGATTGCCTGGTGATACCTGTTTTGCTATTGTATAATATGCATCCATAGCTCCAAAATAACGCCTGGGTGCACCAGCAGGCGTTTTACTTTCAGCCTGAAGTCTAACCTTCACTAGATCAGTGGGATTAGCCACAGAAATTGCTATAGCACCTTTCATGAAAATGCACCCAAAACCAAAAATAAGTAATAAAAAAACTTGTTATGAACTGAAACTACATCTAGAGAAAAACTGTGTAGTGCTTAAAGATCAATGCTCTGCAACTAACTTACCAGTTAACAATGCAGCTAGTATTTTAGGGAGCAAAGAAACTTCTCCCACATAATCACTGCCTACAAGTAAGACCTTAACCTGCCTAGCACATACGCAAATCCAGCATTAATGAACATACATAGCTAACAGTCACACAGACAAGTTGAACACTCACAGGCTGGTACAACCCGATTCTTAGGCCCCCATAGAGAAACTGTCGATGCAAGCCAGGAACAATGCCCTTCCAGAGAGAAACCATCCCTTCTTCCTTAGCTATTGTCACCATAGTACCAAACAATCCCCTGTACTTAGATGCACCGCATCCTCCTTCCCCAGACGCTGCCCCCTTTTGCAGTTGTAACCTAACTTTCGCTGTGTCTAAAGGCAGAGTACAGAACTGCCAGAAACAAAAATATATCAAATCAATACAACTCCAAATTTCAGTATCACGCCCAACACCGGCATCTTATGTGGCAATTCGGCGACCAAATCAATGCAACTTCTAAATTTAGCATCGCCGTTCATAATCAGAAAATCAAATTTCACTTCGATAACGGCGGCCTCGCACAGTGCCGACATTATGACGGGAACGCGAAAATGAGGTGAAATTGAAGTGAAAAATTACCTCGGCGAAGCAAGCGGCGAAAGCGCTACAGGCGAATATTCCGGCGAAGGAGATCTCGAGCAGATCGGACGCCATCGGGAAGGGGAAATCGCCGACGGTTGACTCGCGGGGAGAGTGTTTATATGCATATGCTGAAGAAGAACTGATAGTGTGTGTATGTATGTATGATTAACAAGTTTCAAGCATGTGAGCGATCCAGCAGGAGTCTTGAACTTCGAGGTAAAAAAATTTTGGATTATGACATTGTATCCCAACATTCGTACCTCAATTTGTACCCCGCAGTTTTGCACTAATATTTTGTATTGGTGTAAAATTAATTTTTGTTAAACGCATCAACATTTGTGTCCGTGTGAATTTTTATTAACGCACCAATACTTGTGTCAGTGTAAACCATCGAAATGTTTGTGCAAACCTATGGTGTACAAATGAGGTATATTTGTTGGTGTAAGTGTAGCATGGTCCAAAATTTTTTTATGGATTACTCCATATTTATTTTAAATTCAATTTAATAAAAAAATTAAAATAAAAAATAAAATTTAAATTTCCTCCATTTTAAAATATTTTTCAAATTTTAGAAAATAAAAATCAGTGAGGATCGATCTTTGATTTATAATTAAATAAAAATTACTCCGTAAATCGTACTTCATATATTACTTACATAAAACAACATTTTAAAAATATTTTACATGATAATTCAAATAAGTTATTTTTGCATAGTTTTCTAATATAAATTTTATTAAATTATTAGTTAAATATTATCAGTTTTGACCATAGTTTTAAAAATTGGACATGACTGACCAGTTCAGACTGAAAATCGCCAAACCGGGAGCCAAACCGGTGTGACCCACTAGCTCTCTTGTTAGGATATCCATCTTTAGTGTTACTTGTTTAGCGTTAGTTGATTTGAGACATAAATGTTATTGATCCATCTTTAGTGTTAGTTTTTTAGCATTTTAATAATAAAAAATTATTAATAACTATATCTAGACATCTAACATTAAAGATGCTTTCACTTTTAGGGGTATTAGTATACTCCGTAATATTTTGTGGAAACTGTTATCAAATCTCCTCACTTCAATGTTCTATTTATGGAACAATTTTTTTCTCTTAAATTAGTGTCATGACTCTTTAGTCATAAATTAACTATATGAGAAGGAAAAAAATGGAGAGAAAATAGCATCCATTTGTGCTATTCGCTTTCCACTTTCCGATTTGTTGACCAAAACACTAAGAGGACCTAAATTTGGGTATAACTTGACCCAAATAACTTCATCTCAAAAATAGCATCCATAAGATTTCATTTTAAAGTGATTTTGTAATTAAAGACTAAAACTATGGAAAAATGATATTGCACATAAAAATGGTATTTTTGAGAAATAAAAATACTTTAGAAAACAACCAAAATATGGATAAAAATGATACGATTTTATTTAATGTCCAATAACGTCTCAAACTAAAAAGTGACAGTCTAAATCGATCTAGACAAAGCCTCGAGTCAATGGGTCATTTTGGGTTCAGACCAAATAATGCACCACCTTAAATCATACAAATATGTATTTCAATCATTTTATATTTAAACTGATACTATTTGAATCATTCAAAACTCAAACTGAATCGATCCAAAATGACTATTCTCTTCGCTTTTTAAAATACTTCTTTTATTTCTTTTTATTTCCCCAAAAGACTTCCACTTTCTATTAAAAAATAACTTTTACCTCTACTTTTTACCCTATCTATCACATCATACTTTTTCATTAATAATGAGTAAATTCCTTAATTGGTCCTTTATAACAGGGGGGTTTCCATATTTAGTCCTCTATTATCAAATATTACCCTCGTAGTCCTTTTTTTAAAGGAGCCTTTCCACAAATGGTCTTTTTTTGATCTTCCGCCATGTGGGTATTAATTTAATGGCTAAAAATATAATTTGACTTCAACATTATATCTAGTGACATGTTCTGATATTGATTAAGCGGATGACACAAAAATAATGACTATTATTGTGGGCTAGGATTCTAACGGAAGAACACATTTGTAGACTATGGTTGTAGTAGAAAGCGAATGTAGTTCACAAACGATGCAAATGAAACAACCTTTGGAATTGTGTATGACAAAAACAATATATTATCATTGTGAAATTGCACTTTTAGCCTTCAAATTAACATCAACATGATAGAAGATCAAAAAAGAGACTATTTGTGGAAAGATACCCATAAAAGAAGGACCACTGGGGTAATAATTGATAATAAAGGATTAAATAGGGAAACCTCCCTGTTATAAAGGACCAATTATGGAATTTACTCATTAATAATCTACATATCACAACTTACTTATAACATCAATGACAAAATTGGAAAGTCAACCATAGATATATACTCCTTATTTTATCCATTAGTCAAAATAGAAACCCTTTTTAGAAACAAAGGGAGTATAATACATATCCAAAATAAACCAAAACCAATTAGATCCGAACCAAAACCGAACCGGTTGATCCGATTGTCAGGTCTAATGAAAGAGTTTTTAAAGAGGATAAAAACCTACGGAATACTCCGTAATAATTAATAAATACAAGGAGTAGTAAGCTTTATTGTAATGCACAATAACTGATTTTTAAAAACACAAGTGTATAAGAGGTGGTTTTAAGAACTGTTCTTTTAATCATTAGGAGTATATATTATAGACTGCTTCACACCTAAGCCGCCACCACAAAAGCACTTGATGTACCTGTGAAGTGCTTAATGGAGCCTAGAAGGGACTTTGCAGCACCAAAATGCCTTATTCTGTACACACCCGGAACAGCCGTCGATGGTATTCTCCATTCTATGGTTGCTTCGCTCCTGGCACTGAGTTTATAGGGCCTTGACCATTTAAACCTAAGGCAGAAATCGTCGTCGTCATAAGCAGGAACCCACGAGTCCTTTCCTTGGAGGATCTCCACAAGGGCAAACGTACCCTCTGTCATGAGGTCATTCCGCGGGCATGCGGAACGGAAACTGACACTCACTAGGTCTCCCCTCTTTGTGGTGGAGTTTTTAGGAACGTCTGTCAAGACATCTCCGAAATTGGTTCCTAGCGGAGTGGAGTCCACCACGACCGGTGTCAAGAAGCTCAACTGCTTGTCTAGGAAATCTGGTGGTTGTGGCCCAGCTTCCACCGGCTGACCAGCTATCAAGGCCTTTGCAAGCTTCTTAAACTCTTGAATGTAGGCACTGAGCGTGTGTGGGCCATACAGTGTAGAGGCACCCTGCAAACGGGTGTTCAACAACATATGAAAACATGATGCTTTGTTACTAGCTTTGAAGGATATGCGTAATCATGTTTGATAGAGCATTGTGCAGCTCGGTTAACTAACCTCATATCTTTGAATCTGGTACTCCTCATGGGTAGTAACATATTGTGAATATGTATTAGTCAAACCAGCTATGACTACGTGAACATTATTATTGCTGAACTCCGATGCAGCATCAGTGAAAACTGCTTTTACAGCATCTCGTAGACGTCTCCCAGCCATTGTTGTAAATTCTACAAAGAAACAATCAGAGGAAAAAAATTACTAAATAAATTAAAACTTGATAGATGAAGTGTTGCTATCTTCTAGAGGTCAAGTTATGAAGAACAAATCACTGAGACTCCAATAAATACCTCCAGGTACACTTAGAATCACAAGCTGCCCTACTCTTAGGATCTGGATCGGAAGTATAGCAGGCTGCAAAATCAATGTTTGTTTAAAGAACCTTATTAGGTGCATAAAATGGAAAGAAGAAGACGAGTGGTGTACCAATGGCTTGTCCCGAAGGCTAGTAAATACCCAATTAATGTTTATGGCATGGGTCATATATGACTACCATCCCCACCAAGCCATTAGGCAGCAACTCAAGAATATGCATGATGGTGTTTATATTCAATGATATTAAAGCTAAGTGACATTTGAAGGACGAAACTCACAGCCCAGTCATAAGGTATCTTCATTTCTCCAGTATCAAGCAATATGGGTTTTGGTTTATGGCACTCCTCTTGTTCCTTACCAGGAGTTTTAAGGACGTTGCGTACCACTCTCCAAAATGCATTTCCCTAAGCGAATATCAAGTTTTGAGAAGATAAGTGCATTTAACCTCAGCTTTCTACCATTAATGAAAACCCATAGTTCACCCAAATTCAGTACCTGGTCATCACCCTGCTTAAAATCAAAAGCCCCAGGACCATCAGTTGTACCAGCAGCAAATGCAAACCCCATTGCTGCAGGACATGTTTTTACAACATCAGTACCGCCACCTTGTTTTGGAACTGTCACTTCAAGGTTTGAGAAGTCCAGATAGGCATGACGGTAATCGACTTTCCCCTTCAACTGCTCTGTTGCTGAATTGAAAAGCTCCGCTGCCTTTTTAAATTGCCTCTCCCCAATGATGCGTGTACTCTCAAACTCATCTGGGTATCTGCAAGTCAAGCAAGATAAAATCTTATACATTATAATCAATATATGATCCCATTTTGTAGGCTTCATTTCTGGCTTACCAGCCAGTTTTCTTCATGTCCGATGACAAAAAAGGGCACAGTTGTTACTTCTTTCTCTCACTTTTTTTGCTTAACCGACATAAAATTGATGAAATTGGTACTTTTAGCTTAACTTTTAGATATTTATTTTTTTACAAAGCAACTTATTTACTCACATATATGTTTCTGCATGTGTGACTTTTTGCACACATTTTAGTAGATTCAAGCATATCAGCCAATATCAGTAGATTCAAGTCATTCAACCACTTTAATTTAAGCCTTACCAAACAGCTGTAAATCTAAATGGAAATTCAAAATTGTGAAAATTTCACATTGCATACCCTGGTCCGCGTCCATAACATAACTCATTTTTCCCATTACACGTGCTTTGATTAAAGTCACATGGTAACCCTGAATCGATGCAATAAGCACCAAGTACATTTGGACTGACATCGCCACAGTTTGTTTGGCAAAATGCCGAGACAAATCTAGGCTTATCAGCAAGCCTAAGAGCAGACCTAACACGTCGAGCAACGCTCATGAGCCTAGTAGCTCGTTTACCCGGGGAAGACTGGAACGAAGCAGCAAGCTCCAGCAACTCATGATCTGCATCATTATAGCACCCAATAAGTTAGCTGTTCCGCCATTAGTTCCAATCTCTACATACATCCACCACATAAGTCATGACTTCACCATCGGGTATGGATAAACACATTATATATTGATTACTAATAAAAATGAACTCATGCATAGGAGAATTGTAAAAGTGAAAACATCAAAGCAGACTTGGATTAAAATCAAACGAGATAAACTAGAGTGGGATGAGTTGGATGGAGGAAATCAATAAAGTCATTCAAACAAATCATCTTGGTCTTAGGTCAGTGATTCAATCTCATACATCACTCTTCCACAAATCACTCCTACTGCATTAAAATTTGGCCACATCAAATTCACTAATTTTTTCCTTCTATTTTTCGATGAGAGTACCTTTTCTTCTCATTTCCAATATGCTTCTACAGTTCTACTTCCTTTTACTTCACGGATTAATTATGTTATCAGGCCAATGTTGTCAATGTCAATTACCAATCTTTTCATATATAAGCCGGGGCCGTAGCTCAGTTGGCGAGGCAAGGGGTGTCAATGGGGTAACACCTGGGTTTGATTCCTAACAACTGTGCTAGGAGGCAACTATACATGGGGCCTCTCTGCAAGTACCAGTTGCACGCTCCACCCTTTTCGAGCCAATCTATGACTAAAGCTCAATTTACCTCTTCTCAGGTGACCATCCGGCCAGTTTGGAGGAGGCCCTCGAGGATGGAGCTCATCCTTTTTTTCTTTTCCTAAATAATTTTTTTGCTCATATGTACCCTTTTATAGCTGTTATATTAAGTCACATAGGCTCTCAGAAAATATTTCTTGACTTTATGCAAACTTTAAAGTTCATTAAAGTGAAAAAACTTTGAGCGAGCACAGAATCATCTGCAACAAGCTTGAGCAATGATCACATTCACAAAAGCAAGTAGTGTCGAAAAGACCAACCAAAGGAAATCTGCAGCTTGGAGATGGAAGAAAATATTCAACAGACTACAAGATTCTTAATAATAAATGCAATCAGTCTTTGCATTATACTTACAAGAATTCTGTCAGTAGTATACCATAAAAGATAATGATCTTACGCTTATTATGAACAGGGATGATGTTTGAAATCCTTCTTGGCAATTTTCTACCTTTGGTGGCATTAGCAGCATGGGTTTCATTACCACTTTGTTTGAACCAATCTTCCATAAATCTTGCAGCAGCTCCTTTATTGTCTCCACTTATTAGAGAATTTGTACGACCCATAGAGGTTCCATGAGTAGCAAACCAATTAAAGCTACCAACCGGACCCCAGTCCTCATCTACAAACTTTAAGAGGGTCATTTCCTTATCGACATTGTACTTGTATTTATTACGTTCAGCAGAGGGATTATTCAGATAAGCACTAGGGCTGCGATTAACACCAGCATCCAACAGCTCTCCTATTCAATTGAAGCAGACAAAACTAATAAGGATAACATGGCCAAATGAATAATAGCAAAACACTCTAAGAGACTATTAGATGAAGTAGTGGATAGCGAGCTATAAGAACAAGGGGGGAGCATAAAGGGTAACAGTTTATTAAAGATAGCACTTGCGCATTTATTTTTGCTACTGTTGGTCAATTCTACACAGATGTAAGAGATCCTCCCCTCAATATAAGGTAAGGTAGCAATAGGGCCTGGCACAGAGCATCCGAGGAGGACATATATCTTTCTTTCTAGATGCACCTGGTCACCTTAAAAGTTCATCCCAAGTCCCTTGATTTGAATTCGTGAACTCTAGGTCAACAAAGCTTTGATACCATGTCAAGGAAATGACTCGATCAAAAGCACAAACCTGTGGTTTGCACTTGACATAAAAGGTTTTATACCCTTTCAGTATGCATTACCAAGTAGTAATGACAGTCACTAACTTTTGATGACAAGTGTGGTGGGTCTATAGGTCATATTAAATTACATTCCTATGAAGAGCTAGGTTTTACTATCAGACAAGAATGAGATAAAGATAATTCATCCGACAGAACTGCCTTATTGAAATTATACAAATATACAGAGAATCTTAGAGGGGAGGGGGAGGGGGAAGGGGAAATGGAAGAGAAAGGAGCAACTCCACTCCAATACCTTTATTCACAAATATTGATCCAGGTCGCAGGTTTTCATGAGCTTGCATTATGCTCTGTTCAATGCCATCAACAAGGGCATCAAACGACTGGCGGACAAAACCGAGAGATGTTACTATATACACTACATACTGTAGATATCCCCCAGGGCCAGAATGAGAGTGGATACCACTAATCGCAACATTGTTTTCGGTATACAGATTCCCATACCTGCAGAATAAAAGGCACTTGTAGTAATATAGTTAGTATATAAGCTAGAGCATATCATGAGCAACTGGAGCACATTTGACAAAAAAAATATACTCCGTAAAAATAATAGCAGAAATTGTGAATGGAAACATCACATCAGTTTAGTGAAATGAAATAATAGGGAAAAGTATTAAGCTAGCAGTAATGTTTGAAAGCATACCTAACTTTCAATCTCTCAAGAACTTTAATGGTCACAATCTGCGATGCCATACAAGCATCAAGATTTACAAATACAATGCGGTTCCCCTGTGGTTCTGCTACAATAAATGTGCGAGCTCGCAGCCTGAAGTGAACTCCAGATGCAATCTGGTCCATGTTAGCATACCCCATCATGTTGGCATCAGCTGCTGGCCCTGTGATATCATAGCTACCAAGCCCAATTAAGTAACTAGAATCTGCCTCCACACTACCATCTCCGGGAAACAATAGCAGTATCAGGTACAACCAAACAAACAGTCTCTCCGTATGAAGCTTGAGAGCAAAACCTAACTTCATCATCCTCTTTTTTCCCACAAGAATGCTGGATCTGTGTTTTACCTTTAAACAGAACCAAAAAAAATTCCCTGCAAAAAGTCAAACCCAGGATATGGGATAAAGCTGTAACACTGACGCATTAAATGTAGTGTCCTGACCAGATACATCTATAATCTTGCCCAAACCAGACTAGAAATGGAAAATCACTTCAAGTATTACTAATAAAAAAACATGAGTTCATTAATACGGATTACTTCATCTAATATGGGCAGAGTATCAAAGAACTACAGTAAATGATCAATCAAATTCCTAAAGTTGAGCCAGATCATATGATAGAGCCTAAACTGGCAACAACCGTAAGACAATCTCCTCAATAATGGAGTAAATTGCGAACCAGCCAAATCCATAAATTACAGAGGTTCAACATCTTTTCATTTAGTTTAATCTTCTCAACAGAGTAGCATTTTATAGACAAAAATTGTACATTTCGGATCGAATCACATTTCACACTGTTTTGAGTCGTTTCTAGTTCTAATCATCAGAGAACCAAAATAAACGGGATGAGAAAGATGAACTCGCACCAAAATGCAGAAGAGAAATCCGAGAATAATGGTGTTTAATGGAGCTAGGGAGAAGGAGATTTCTTACTCGGCCTCGGTCAATTTTGCATCTAAGAACTCTAGCAGTGGGCTTGCTGCGAAGAAATGCCGTGAAAATCGATCGGAGTTAATGAAGCTTCTTCTTTCTTCTTCTTCTTCTTCTCTTTCAACTCTCCTGCGTTGTTGCTTGCCGGATTCGTACTGTAAACGCCGGCCGGGACATAAATTCTTTCATTGATGGGATGAATCGTGTACGTATTGCCGGACAGAAAATCTGTTTAACACTGCTTCTTCTGTTCTTCATCATCTTTTATACGGATCACTCAGTATACGGAATACAATTTCCTTAAATTAGGGGAACTAAGTTCTTTATTCACTCGATATTTTTAGAAAAATCAGGCTACAATGTCTTTGAATTTCATCAGCAAAAATAAGACTAGATATTCTTCTCCCCCAAAATGAATTATTCCTCTTGATCAATGTACAAAATTTTGTGACATTTAAAATAATATTTACAAATTGATATTTTATTTAAAAAAATTATAAATTTAAAATTTTTATAAAAATTTTACAAAATAAGAATTGACAAAAAACATTATATTTTATCAAATAATCAATCAAAACTTAAACGGTAGGGTTCTAGTAACACCAGAGTACGGTGCCACTGTGTTTTTGGAGCCCAAAATGCCAGTGGCACCGGAGTGGTACTGTACTCCGGTGTCACTAGAACCTCACCGAAACTTACATGCTTAATACAAAGTACATTTTTTTTATTTCTAGAATCACACATAAAAGGTCTTAATTTAATTATACTCCGCAAATGTTACAAAGTGACAACGAGATGCTCTAAAAAACTATTGGGTATTTTTTGTAAATTAGGGCACCAAACACCCTAAGTTAGGGACATTAACTTCCTTAAACGCACAGTAAAGATGCAAAGTTTAAAATAGGGAGAGAGATTGATGGAAATTTTTTCTGAAGCGAGGAAGTACAAACTATTTTTTTTGGAATCGAAAGGTTTATAGCTAAGTAAGACTAAAACTAAATCGTGTGGAAGTTAGAGATCGGGTTGGTCGGTGTAAGAACGAAGAGATGGTGGTGATCATGTGGTTGTTATGGCGTAATAGAAATAAAATGGTGTGGAGTGATAATTGTAGCCCAGTCTCATCTATTCTATAGGCGGGGTTGGAATTTTTGCATAATTGGAGGGGTGCAACGATGAAGGAAAATTTAATTTTTGGTGAACCGAGATCTAGGAAGGTTGAGCGATGGAGTAAACCGGAGACAAAACGTTTAAAGTGCAATATTGTTGCTGCTTTATTTGCAAATGGCGAAAAATGGGGGCGTGGTGGTGTCGTTAGAGATGATGGTTGGGTGGTGATTGGCGCCGTGTCTTTGCTTCGAGATGGTTTGCTGGAGCCTAGTACAGCACAGGCCAATTTTTCTTCGAGAGGTCTTAAGCTGGATTAAGATGTCAAATTGGAGGAATGTGAAAGTAGAATTGGATTCAATGACTCTAATAAATGCAGTGAAAACCACCAACAATGATGGATCACCTTTTGGAGATATTATTAAGGATTGTCAGCAATTGATTTTGAATGTTGAGGGAGCTTTGATCAGTTTTGTGAAGCGATCAACAAACCAAGTTGCTCATGTGCTCGCTCGGGCGCCTAGTTCAAGGACTGATATCATTGTTTGGCTTCCTAGTCTACCTCTTTTCATTATCAATGTAATTCAATTAGACATTGAGTAATTCAACGCACACTTGGCATAAAAAAAGTAAGATTAAAACTAGATACATGCATGAAATTTTGTTTTAGTGGTGGAGCGACCGACTTAAATGAGGAAGTTTGCATTGATTCACACCAAATGTTGTTTCTGTGTTACTCAATTTGGGAGTCTCTTGGAAACGAATCTTCTACTTCCGAGTAGCGGTAATGTCTACGCGCACACACCCTACCCAAGGCCTACTTCCGTGAAATTTTACTATGTTGTTGATCCATTGTTGCTTCTTGGACAAAATTGAGAATGAACCTCATCTTAAGGCCATCTAGGGTTGTCAAGAGAGTAGCCTTAAACGAGATAAATCAAATTGTAGTCTTAGAGAGATCAATGAGGAGTTCAAAAGTAAAATATGTCACTGATACATACAAAGACTATATTACGGATGATTGTCTTTAATCTAGTGATCAGCATTTGTTTTTATGGAGTATTTTTTCTTCTTTTCTATTGTGTGATATTGAGATGGAAGAATTGCAATTTATGTTTTGTGGTTTTTTATACTCCATATTATATTTAGAATCCCTAAATCCCATTTACATTATTGAATAAGGATAGTCTGATACCCATATTACTGTACTACGGGTTGGAGTACTACTTTCGGAGGGGGTGGCTTGGATCAACTCGAAGTTCTAAAATTTAATTATGAATATCTATACTTCAATTTTAGTATCAAATTCTTTTGTATATTCAATCTTTAGTTTTCTGACCTTATCTTAAGATGAAAATAAAGTCTAAAAATTTATGGATTTTAGGGAGTACATATTTGTGGAAACATAAGTGATGCAACCTCTTTGTAGTGGTTAATTGTGATCAATATTCGTAGTATTGTTACATTTGTCTAACTTTTGTCTGCCCATTATAGACTTATTTCCAAGTTTTATATGGTTTTCAAACTATGAAATATGCAACTAGCTACATTTTAGATTTTACTATGGTAATAAAAGATTGACCTTAAAAATAGATTCAAAGGGATTCATATTAGTGTAAAATGGAGCGGATGATAATATTTTCAACGTCCACAGACTTTAGAGCGCGGGCACATGAACACTTTTATTTTCACATTTGTTGCAAGATGTATACTCCGAAAGAGCATTTTGACCGTACTAAAAAAAGTGATCGATGGAAATTTGGTTGGTGTTTCTCTGTATTTTTAAGTTGAGCAAAACTGTGTATAAGTGATTTTTAATTTATAAGTCAACTGATGACATGTTTTCGTGTGTTTATAAGTTGACTTATAAGCTGCTACAGATTATAAACCATAAAAAAGTATGTCTTAACTATTTATTTTTAAGTCAGTTTCTTTTTGTTTCTCCGTTTTGACTAGATTATTTATAAAATTGTTCATCACCACTTATGAATATTTAAAAATGAATTATCTATCATTTTAAGTCATTATATTTCTACAAAAGAATAATTAATTTATAAATAGCTAATGCATTAAAAACTACTTAGACAATAAGTCAATAAACACCCGTACAACACTGTGCGCCATATCGCCTCTGTTTCTCTCATCATCTTCTTCCATATACGGAGTATATTTCTTCTTCTCCACCGCCTGATTGTCTTCTTCTAGGTAATTTTATTGCCCCTCTTTTTTTATTTCTTCTATATATAGATAAAACTGAATTACTCCTTTTCAAAAATCTAATTGAGATAGATATCCCCTGCCCTATGAAAATTGAATTGGGGTCAAAATAACATAGCTAGAAAAATCCTGAAAAAAAGAAAGTAATTGGTATGATATTTACGTTTTAAACTCATTTTCATTTGGTGGATGCCCAATTATACTTTCAGATGTTTTGCATGTGGATTAATCAAGAACAATCACAATTCTAAATTGATTTGAAAAAATTAAAAATAATTAGAATGTATTTTTATTTTTAAGAAACAGGGTTCTATGTGTTGGAAGTTTTAGGCCCCGTTTGGCAACAACTTTAGTGATTAGCGTTAACGTTTTGAAAAGGCTATCCAACGGTAGCCTTTAGCGTCAATGTTTTCAGAATTAATCTACGCCATTAAAATTTTATCTAAAACATTGTCCTACACAAGGCCTTAGTTTTAAGACGATTTCATGTCGTAGTGTATTTTTAAGTTTGGTTTCATTGTTGTGATCCATTGTTTGAGAGCAATCATGATGTCCAGTTAAATGACTCTGAAACAAATACAGGATCGCCTTGTCGTTTGAGGTTTGACTATTACACTTATTTGCATATTGAGGCCCTAGATGGGTGAATAGATGAAGAGTACAAGTTTCTGGTTCACCACACTAAGATAACTTAAGATGTATACTTTGGAACATGCATGTTGTCTACTTGGTTTCAAGAGTTTTACTTTTTGTCTACTTTCTATGGTTATTCTTTGTGAAATTTGCACTAAATAGGATTAAAACATAATGACTTTCCTAATGTAGGACTTAAACTTTTTTATTTCTTAAATAGGACTTAATAATGACCTTGTGGGAGAATTAATGTCCAGTAATGATGGACATTTAGTTGAATAATGACTACATGATAATGACCAAAGGTCCTACATTGGGAAATAAAAACATATGATCCTGTATTGGGAAAGTCATTATGTTTTAGTCCTATTTAGATAAATTACTCTTATTCTATCTTTTCTAGGTGAAGAAAAGATAAAGAATATTAGACAAAAAGTTTGACATTCTCCCTAATTGATTTTGGTGTATTGAGTGACCTTATTTGGTTCTTAACAACTATTTTGATACATATTCGTATCGTATGTGAGCAAACATATATAGTTGATAACCTCAGAAGTTTGATTCTCGATCAAACTTGCATAAGAAAAATATAGAAAAGGATATGAGATTCTTAAGTGAGACTATACAAACATCATTCTGTTGTGATTTGTCTTGTAAACAATACTTACTTTCAATCAACCGAGATCGACTTTTTAACATACTCGTATAATTTAATAATAATTACGTATTAATTCGATAACATAATATTTTCAAAATATTTTACAAGTTATTCTTGTTTCAATATCTAAGATTCCACCCGTTACGTTCCACAATTGATTACAATTTGCACTATTCCAAAATCACATTAGCTTTTCATTATTTGTATATTTTGTAGATCTTTTAATATACTCCGTAATTTTTAAGTATCCAAGTTCTATTTTTTTATATTTATATCAATCGTAAAATAAAATAAATTAAAAAAATTTTAATTTTTTCTTCGTTTTGCGCAATTTGTAATCCATTATGAGACACAGAAAGTATAATTTTTTACTCTTATTTAATCAATGGTTAAAATTTAACAAATTTGACTATAAAAAGTAAAAATTGAAAAAAAATACTCAGAGATGAAGGTAGTATGTGATAAATTAATATTCCTTCTGTTTTTAAAAGAAACATAATAAAGAAATACTAAAGTCATCAATAAAAAAACTAACAAAATGTGCAAACTTATGCTTTCTGAACCCCCTAAAAGAATAAAATAGTATCAAATAATTAAAATAAGGATCGGATGCTTGGTCTAGATAATCAAGATGTTGCATTGAATTTTGTGTGAGTTTTGGGTCATCACAATTTGGTTTTGTAGTGTCGTTTTCAAAAAAATAATGAAAGTGGACTACTGTGAAACAATTTAGATTCCACTCAAGAAAAATCAAAACAAAAGAGTTGCAGTGGGTCATAAAAAAATCTAGTGTCATTTTGGTGAAAAAAATCTTGTGCTATTTTTACAACTTTTACAATGTTTTGAAAAAAATTATTGCTCCGGCCTTCTGTCCAAAATTAAATAGTCTTTATAGTAATTACGGGATTAAACTTTATTTATTTTTTTTATCTATTTTCGTTAGTCATTTGATAAAATAATATAGTTATATTAACATTTGTTTTGTAGAGTTTTTATGTATTTTTTTAAATATGTAAATTTTATTTTAAAAATCTACCCCAATTGTCTTATAAGATGGGTCGGAGGGAATACCAGATTAATGCTAATCCTTGTATATATCTTTCGTGTCGTTTTGGATTAGTTTGTGCAATTTCGTACTACCGTGAAGAAAAAATTAGTACTACCAAATTCTCAATTATTGAATGAGTCCCGCTAGGGGTACACCACTTGTGTACCCCATATGTGCACACCATATACTCCCCCTCACCTTTCCCCTACCACTCCCTTCTTTTTTCTCTTCCCATCCAATTTCTCAATCTTATCACTCCATCTCTCTCCTTCGGTTTTCTTTTTTCTTTTCAATTTTTTGTAGATTTGATTCATTGGACATCGCTAATCCTCTACAACAACATAACTCGACGCTGCCATATGTCCTCCCACCCGCCGCCGCTGCTGCTCTATGTCTTCCCACCTGCTGTCGGTGCTACTCTGTGTCTTCCCACCCGCTGCCACCATTGTTGTGGGTCTTTCAACCCACCGCCGTCATAGTGCATCAATGACTGACCATTATTTGGGGTATAAAATCCACAAATGTTAATTCTCTTATTAAAATTATTGAATTTCAATGTTTAGGCCTTTTCAATTTTCAGGTTATTTGTGTCATTAAACTTTACAGATAAAAAATGTTTTTGTGATAGACTTGATGAGTATTTTTTGGATTAGACATACTTCACCACCCTTATCAACAATAGGAAGGATCATAAGTGATGTTTATATGTGTGTATGTTACCATAGGAGGAATTCTGGGAGAAGGGCTGAGCTTCCCTAGAGAGATCTGTGAGAGAGAGAGAGAGGGAGAGAGAAAGAAAGTAGAGGGGGATAGAGAGAAGAAAGAGGGAGGGGAGTATATGGTGTACAAACGGTGTACACGAATGGTGTGCACATAGCCTTTTCCTTATTGAATTTGTTTTGCCATTTTCATTGCTTTTGTAATGTTAGTTCGGGAAAATATTTATACTAGATTATTGACAAAATAATTTGAAGTGCCACTCTAAAAAAGTATTTAAATTTTGTACTGTTTATAGTATCGGATTATCTCAATAATCCCTGTAATTTTTTCGTATTACAATAATATTTGTTTGTAGTACATACTCCCTCCGTGCTTAAAAACACTTATTCTTTCATTTTTTTCACTTCCAACAAAACACTTTCACTTTTTATTAAAAAAATCATTTTTACCCTTACTTTTTCATACCCTACCTATCACATCATACTTTTCTCTAATAATCTATCCATCACATTTTACTTCTACCCATCACATCAGGGGCAAAATTGAAAGTCAACTATAATTTAATACTTCCTTATTTTTGCTCCAAGTCAAAATAGAAAGTCTTTTTGCAAATGGAGTATTTTTTTTTGTATAGTGGCTCTACAAATTATTTTTGAGGAGGGAGACTGGGAGAGAGTATTTAATAGGGGTGGAGTGAAGGGAGGGGAGCATGGACTAGGTGCATCGCATCTAGAGAAAGATTCAAATTGTTGTTGTTGGTCAAGTTTGGTGTCAATAAGAGCTATACTGTACTCAGTATTTATTGGAATGGACCCTAAATACAACACACCAACATTTTATGGTCCCTTTTTGGCTTTGTTTGTTTGGAGTAGGTAAAGTTGCTACAAATAGTGGCAATTTATTTGCACAAAATAATTTTAATTTTTATTGTTATTGTGAAGAGTAATCCTATTTTTTGGTAATGGTATAACATGCAGTGGGGAAACATGCACCGATGCACGGATGCACCCGTTACTTACAGAATTCAAATTCAGATCTCACTCTCTTGTCACTCTTTGCTTTTGAGTAATGCTTTTTGGACACATGGTTCCTTAATTACTTTCTGGCAAGCACATGTCGACCACACATTGTTTGTGTGCCCATGCACTTTGAATATCCTGGTTGTGCTTGTGTGTGTTGACGATATTGTTGTTGCAGGAAATAATGGGTCTTTGCGTGCTTCATCATTTACATGGTTGCTTCCACTTGAAATATTTTTTTACATGATTTTTTTACACTTGCTTAGATAAGAAATAGAGTTTTTACACTTATGAGAGACAGATCGTATTTCTTATTTAGGGATCGATTGTGCACGATCCAAAGATGGTATGGTGTTGAACAAGAGAAAATATACTTTGCATTTTATTCAGGAAGTGTGTTTGTCTAGTTGCAAACTGGTTGACACTCATTTTCAACCTGGACATAATCTAGCAAATTCTAAATATGCTAAAATCATATATCCTACAAACTATCGTAGAATTGTGGGATGCCTATTATATTTGACCATCACTAGACCAAATATACCTTATTCAGTGCATTTTATTTCATAGTTTAAGCAGACAAGGTGTCTGGATCATCTCAATGCAGCTATGCGTGTCATTCGTTGTCTAAAGGACACTTAGGTCAAGGGTTTTTTTTACGAAGCAACAATAACCTCGCCTCACTACTCTGGCTCTGATTGGGCAAGTTGATCTCATACTCGTTGGTCGATATTTTATTATGTTGGGTTAGTATCATATTTCATGGTGGACAAAGAAGCAAACAGTCATCTCACGCTCTTCTCCTGGAGCCAAATATAGCGCCCTAGCTCTTCCGGTGGAGCCGAATGCAGCGCCCTAGCAAATGCTTGTTTTGAAGTTGATTGGATCCAAGGTTTGTTGGCAACTTTGGCTATCCCAGGGGGTGTTGCTATTCCAAAACTTTATTGTGATAACAAATTTGCACTTTTCATCGCTTCTTCTTTGGGTTTTTTTTCAAATCTTCATCTAAAAAAGAATGGACACAATCCCTAAGGTTTCACCTGCAGGCTGAATGATCCCTTAAGAGGAGGTAAATTAGACTTTAATCTGAAATTGATAACAGAAAATAGAACTAGCGCCTATACTTAACATAGTTGAAATCTTCATCTAAAGGCTAAAATCCATCATTGGTCCTTCAACTTAATGAGTTATGCACGATTGGTCCTTCAAGTTTCAAAAATCCACGAATAGTCCTTCAACTTTATGAGTTGTCCACAATTGGTCCTTTTAGTTTCAAAAGTACGTAAGTAGTCCTTCAAGTACACGTCAGCCCTTCAGATAAGGTCCTTTTGACAGTAAACATTAAAAGCTAAATGGAATACTAGTTTCATATAATACGAGTAAATTCCATTAGGTACGACTACTCCGTACTATATAGAGCTAGTATTCCATTTAGCTTTTAACGTTTACCGTCAAAAGGATCTGATCTGGAAGGCTGACATGTACTTAAGGGACTACTTATGGACTTTTGAAACTTAAAAGACCAATCATGCATAACTCATAAAGTTGAAAGACTATTTATTGACTTTTGAAATTTGAAAGGCCAATCGTGCACAATTGATAAAGTTGAAGGACCAATAGTGGAGTTTAGCATCATCTAAATTGTTGTGTGACTGTGTGAAAACTTCATTTTATGATTGGTTTTCTTTGCTTCTTCAATTTTTATTTTTTTTAGTTTTTAATTTTTAAAATTTTTCTATTTTTTATGAATATTTTAGTTTTTTAAGTTTTTTAATGTCCTCATTAATTTCTCTTCAGTTTTAAAGTTTGTACTATTAAATCCTATTTTATGTTTTTAGTTTGATTAATTTAAATTAAATTAAATGTTAATAAATAATATAAAAAATGAATAAGAAAGAGGAAGGGAAAGGAAGGAAAATGAAGCTGAAGCAAAAGGAAAAGTCGATGCATCACTGAGTTGGCACGAGAGGAAGAGGGGTTACAAACCCAATTGCCTAAAGAGTAACGAGTGATGCTTATATGATCTCAATATCTACATTTAAAATATAGACTTTCTTACACTTTTCATGAGATTGCATGTGAATATTTTTTTGCAAAAAATCCATTTCTTTTATGCTACAAATGCACTAAATTCCATAGGATTCTGCTAGTCGGTGGGCGTTGCGCATTTGGCAAGGAAAATGGTGTCAAGGGGATTCGATTTCTAGCAACTGCGCTGGGAGGCAACTATGCTAAGCATAGGGTCTGTGCAAGTACCAGGTGTAGGGTCTATTCTTTAATTTACTACTAATCTGCGATTAAAGTTCAATTTATCTCCTTTCAGTGACCGTCCGACGAGTTTGAGTGGGCTCTCGGGGATGGGACCCATCCTTTTTTTACCAAAGAATTCTGCTAGGAACCAAAAAAAAAGGCATGTGATGGAAAGGAGTGATGACACCCATGCAAGTGGAGCTCCAACTATAATGGATCAACTTGCAGTAGACTCTTCTCTTCTCTTCTCTTCTCCACCAATGGCTGGCTAGCGAGGCATTGCTCTCTCCACGTACAGTTCACATGAAATAAAACACCTGCACCAAAGCATGGTCGTCTAGCAATGCCTATTGGACGTTGAATAATATAGCTAAGGTTTCGAGAATCGAGGTGATGAAAAATTAGATTGTATAATTTGGGTCTTGCATTATTTTCTCTAGTTTTAATTTTTACCGTCAAAATTGATAATTTATTTTAGATATTGATATAAAAATAATCTTTTATTAGATCAATATTCTAAAATATTTTTAAAAGATGAGTATAGCATTTTGTTTTATTTAGTTAATTTACCATGTAAATTTCTATGCAATTCTAGGTTAAAGGTTGATCTAGCTTGGTTAACCGCAATGCTCCAGTCCCTTTTCGTAGAAATGAACATATATGGACTGAGGACGACATTAGAAGTTGTTAGGGGTATTCTACATTTTAATTGGCTCTTTTGACATTAAATTTCAGTGTCATGTTATGACATTGGTTAAATTGATGGTCCCTAGCTATTACTCTAATCCCCTAGACCAGAACGGTCGTAACGCACCTCGCACTTATCCAATTGCACCTTCAAAATTTGTTGACTTTGGGGTTAAAAAAAATTGACCCTAAAGTCAACAAAATTCTAGAGAGTGTAATTGGTATGTGTGTCCGGACCGGGTCGAATATGAATGGGGAAGGGTTTGTTGGATAAAAACTACTCTCTCTTCTTCAAAACATTTTTTGTTTTGGCTTTTGCAGGATTTAATTTTGAAATTTGACTTTTCAAATAAATCATTAACGTCAAAAAGGAAAGAGTGACAAATCATGTAAATCACTTATTATATCAATACAGAATGGATGAAGTATATTTGAATGACTTTATTTGGACATATTAATCATTTTAATCAAAAAAAGGAGTATACTGGTGAAAGCAAAAAAAGTGAAAGAGGAAATATTTTCCCAAACGGAGGAGTATCACTTTTTGGATCGGAACACACTAGGTACTCATTCTCATAATATGACATGTACCAATATCTAGTGTCAAAAGAACAGTGGTGAAATTTTAGATCAACGTCAAATTTTGATCACTTAAATAGAAGTATTCATGAACAGAACATAAATACTACCCCAAAATATATGTAGTACTCCCTCCGTCCACAAATAAACTTCTCGTTCACTATTCACATTATCAAATTTTATTCACTTTGTTGGCCTCTTTTCGTCACCATTTGATAAAATAATATAGTCATATCACATCTAGTTTTGTAGATCTTGTGATATATTTTTTTAATCTGTAACTTTTATTTTTAAATTTTACACCATTTTTCATATAAAATGATTTGAAAATAACTTCAGTCAAACATCGTAACGCACAACGGAAAGTTTATTTGTGGACGGAGGGAGTATATTTTTTTGACCCCAAAGTATTTGTGTATTGTTGATTTTTTGTCGTTAAAATTGATAAACTTTGATCATTAATTAAATAAAGTTTGTATTATATATTGCTACAAGTATAAATTTATTTCATGTTATCTTGTAAAATAATTTCAAATATTATTTTATCTAATTAATATACAATGTAATTTTTATTTAATCATAATTTGATATTAGATGACTACAAAAAATTAAACTAGACAAATGTTATGAGAGGGATGATATTATATGGGCTCTCTAATAAATTATCCTAGGTGATTTGAAGGGAAAAAAATCAATTATTCAGAAAAGAGAGTTATGAATTTTCAATATATTCCTTAAAAATCAATTACTAAGGATCATCCACATAATATCCTAAAATGGCGAACTCAACATGAAAAATCACCAGAAAAACAGAGTATTTTTTTATCCATCAAATAATTTGTTTTCCAAAAAAAAAAGAAAAAAAGAAAACGACCCAATCATAGACCGACACCACCTCTATTTCCCTTTGTTGTTTTGGCACATAGTCCCAGGCCACTCTCTTACCCACTCTTCCAATTCCATAATAAAATTTTCACCATTCATAATACTCCCTCCATCCTATAATGATCTTCCCGGTTTGCAAAACGAAGAAAAATCCCAAGTTTTTTAAATCTATTTTATTTAAATATTGGTATAGAAATAAAAAATAAAACATACATATTTAAAAACTACATCAAAAGTTCAACAAAACAAGTGGTGACAAAAATATTTTATTTTACCATATAGGCCATGAAAAAACACAAATAAATATAAATTCCCGTGAAGTTGGAATAGTGCTCTGGGAAGATCATTATAGGACGGAGGGAGTAATATATACTCCCTTCCGCTCTAAATAGATTTTCATCTCTAAATAGTCAAATAGATTGTATGTATTTATTATATTTAAATAGATAGATACAAATTAAAATAAAACTTATATGCATTTAAAAATTGCGTTAAAAAATGTTTATAAATCAAGATGTGACAAAAATATTTTTTTTATTAAGTAATAAATAAAAACTCATAAATAAATAAAATTACTACTCCCTCCGTCCTATAATGTTCTTCCCGGTTCATTTTACGAAGTTTGACCGACTTTATTTTCAATTCAATTTATTTGATTGTAGGTGTAAAATTAAAAATTAAAATTTATATATTTAAAAACTACATCAAAAGTTCTACAAAACAAGTGGTGACAAGATTATATTATTTTATCAAATATCTAATGAAAATAGGTAAAGAAAGTGATAAAAGTTTGACCGTGTAAAAAGTGAGTGGGAAGAACATTATAGGACGGAGGGAGTATAATTTTGAAAAACAATGTACACTACACAATATATTTTCAGGGATGAGGAAGTATTTACTGAATACTATTCTAATTTTCATCCGTTTATCCTTACCCCAAATTGGTGTACCCCAAGTGTACAGTACCTTCTCACAAACATCCACTCTACACGTAGAGACAATGAATGTTTGTGTGTCTGTGAGAAAGTGTTCGCCATCTTAGGGTATCCGTAGCGAATCCCTAAATTAATTGTAAACGGAGTATTATTCTAATGTTCTTTTTAAGTAAGTAAAAATGTGTGCCTAATAATATTCCTCTTTCTTAAAAATAAAAATCACACATTTATAAAAAAAAATTATGTTCTATGTCTCCCAACTCAACCCCTTCTATATTGCCAATTGGCAGCTGCAATATTACATGTTGTGAGGGAGATATGACTTGTTAATAAACATGACAAAAAATGCTTAGACCTGTTTTTGACCCAAAAGCTGACTCGAAAACACTAAGTTTTGAACAAAAGCTTTGATGACCGAACTAAAAATGGGTCAAACCCGACCTGACCGACTCGCTAAAGTAGAAGTTTTTCAAAATCATATATTTTACTACTCGTTTTTAGTGTATAAATTTATATTTTCACACAAAATTTAATGATATTGCATAATTATCTTACTTTTTCTTAAACTTAAACATTTTTTAAATTCCTTATATTGATTTGTATATCTAAAAATTTCTTCAAAATTTAAAATAAAATAATCTAATAGATTTAATACATATTTTTTGATATTTTAAATGCATTTAACACAAAATGCAAGTGTTAATGTGAATTTGTAGATTTTAAAAACCAAAGTCATAACCCGTTGGATCGACCCGAACCTGATGATACTGGATCATGAACATACAATTCTCAATTCGAACTCGAAATAACACGAATCTGAAGTGACCGAACTCGAACCTAATCTGACCGATCCATTTGCCAGCTCTACCGATTAATTTTAACCGGGCTCTTTATTATGAGAAGCTAGTGCTTTCCCTTTTAACTCCTTTCCACTCACCTTCCATCTTACTGATCCTTTCTTTCTTTCTTTATTTTTTCCCCTGTTGCCATAACATCAATGAAAAAGCAACTCACTCCAATTAAAGTGGAACCACCAACCTATACCCTTCTCCCTCCCCTCCCCCCTTTCATCTCTCTTCTTAAGGAGCTGACACACCACAGTGTTCTTTCTTAGCTCTTGTAGTTGCAGATAAGTTCTGGAAACTTTCCATTTTTGGGGGGTTTTCAAGATTTCCCCCTTTCTCATTGTTTCAGATCTCGATTTCGATTTCTGTGGTGGGTGTGTACACCATTATTTTGTCTGCTATGAACCACTGAATTATATCAGTGTCACTCTTTTCTTCTTTTTTTTTTCTGCATTATTTCGAACACCATTATTTTCATAATTTTTTTTTTTAAATTTTTAAAAGCTGGGATTTTGGTTTTTTTTTCTTTAAATAATAAAAAAGACAGATTCCTCTTGCTGAGAAGGTGGCTAATTTGTTTCAAGAAAAGAAAAAGATATTCTGATTCCCTCAAGAACAACAAAAAAATGCTTCTTGATTTAACACTCATAATGCCACCATTCTAAAGCTTACACCTTTCAACATTTTCTTGGTTTCTTCCTTTCTTTCTTTCCTTCCAACATTTTTTCTTGGATGAATTGGGATATGGAGATTCTGCCAAATCCAAGCTGGTTAGCTGCTGCAGAGAGCTGCAAAAGTCCTACAAAATGGACCCAGGCCGAGAACAAAGCCTTCGAGAACGCGCTGGCGTTGTACGACAAGGACACGCCGGACCGGTGGGAGAAGGTGGCGGAGATGGTCCCCGGGAAGACGGTGGCTGACGTGATTTCGCAGTACAGAGAATTGGAAGAGGATGTTAGCTGCATAGAGGCTGGGTTGATGGATTCGCCTCCCCTTGCTCCCCCTTCCACCTCCCCCTTCACCCTAGACTATTGGGGAGGTGGTGGCGGCGGGGGGTTCAATCCACCAGGGCGTTCTTTCCCCGTTGGCGGGAAAAGACCGCCCTCCAATCGAACGCCCGAGCAAGAAAGGAAGAAAGGCGTTCCATGGACGGAAGAAGAACACAGGTATTTTGCAGTTATTTCATATGGGTTATACATTAGGGCGAGTGGTTTCTATGAAAGTTAGAGGGTAAGAGTCACTTGGGATCATATGAAGCACCCAAATGGTGTCATAATATGACATTATGACATCCAATACTAGTGTCATGAGATGTGACATTACTTTCCGTACCTCAATCTTAGTATTTTTTTGTCACGTTTTTTTACGTGACGTTATGAAACGTTCTCACGTGTGACGTGTCACGCAGGTTGTTCTTAATGGGTCTAAAGAAGTATGGAAAAGGAGATTGGAGAAACATTTCTAGGAATTTTGTGATAAGCAGGACACCAACACAAGTGGCCAGCCATGCCCAAAAATACTTCATTAGGCAACTCTCAGGTGGCAAAGACAAGAGAAGGGCCAGCATTCACGACATCACCACCGTGAACGTCAGCGAAGAACAAATCCGGTCACCGGAAAACAAGAAACCGGTGGCGGCTTCGCCAGATCCCCAGCAGACAAACTCTGGTGTCCAGAAAATGCCCTTTCAGTGGAATAATAATGGGGGAGTCATGGGAAGTTTCAGCACAGGTCAGGGCAACTTTTTTGGGACCTCCCCTTATGGTGTAGGGTCCTTTGACATAATGAATAGAGTGCAACAAGGAAGTGCTGCTTTGCAAGAAATTTACTTTGGACCCCAAAGAAGGGCTCTTTAGGGGTAGTACACTCATATGTGCAGCAGTACCACCATCATTTCAAGCTTAGCTTGATGGTAAAAAAACCTCATTTTTGAGCTTTCAACCACAAGCTTTGTTTCAATCCTTTTTTTGTCCTTTTTTTGCCTTGTAAATATGTTGTCTTTACATTTTTCATATAGTAGAGTAAACTTTAAATCAAGAAAAAAAACCACCATCCAAGGACTAGTTCATGATGTTTTAATAAACTTGCTACTTATTTTCTTTTCATAAAAGGAAAGAAATAAGTAGTTTGCAATATTTTTTTATGCCCCAAATTTAGGACAGACGAATAGGACTTACAACATTTCTCCTTCCTTTTTATATTTTTTTACTTTTTAACAATTTTCTTAAATTTTGTGAAGTCAAGTCGGGACTTTTGTTGGGGGATGGAAGTTAAAATATTTAAAAGAAACTTAAAATAAATTTGTTTGAAGAGTTGAGATCATGGCATTTATAATTGATGATGTTCAAAGTTGAGTGTGAATTCCACTCATCCTAGCATCACATTCTTGAAAAACACATTAAAAAATTCCAAAACCTTTATGTTTGAAAACATTGGGCTGGGTGGCAAACAGAATTATTCCAAATCTTTTTTCTTGGGTATGTGGTTTTGCCATTTCCTTCTTTAGTAAGATACCACTCATATGAAATGTGTTGCTTATAATAGTACACTACTAAAGAAGGCTGGCTTGAGTGTCCCAATCAAGATCCAAAAATGTTGTTGGGTTGGTAGCAACAGTTGTGAAAACTCTACTTTCACTCTACTTTTATGTGATAGTGTTAAAAAGTACAACCATGAGAGAGATACCCATAAAATGTACCCCAAAAGTCTACACTGAAACTATACACTAACATTTCGATTGTTCACACTGACACAATATGCTAGTCTGATCAAAAAATTTACACTAGTACTTTGTGTGCGTGTGAACAGCCACTCTAGCATCACACTAGCACAAAATGAAGGTGCATATCTGCGATGTACAGTTTGGGGTACAAGTAGCTTAATTCAAGTAATCGATTGAATTCAATATTTTGATGTGTTTCAGTCCAAGTGTCCAATGACTCAATCTACTAATGCATCCTATCATGGTATCAGAGCAGGTTATGACCCACCTTATTTGTTAAGATGTGTGTCCAAAAGTTTATTACTAGTCGCCCGAGATCTGGAATTGAAGTCTCCATTTCAAAGACCGAGAAGTACATATTCTAGAACCGTCACGAACATGACCGTGTCAAGTTCATTGAAACCAGGAGAAGCAGATCAAAACTAATGCTGATTCAATTCTTTATACCCTATATGCCAAAAAGGTTCAAGGAGTACAATTTATTTCATTAAATATTGATAAATCAACTTTGTCCCAAGCTTGGATTATATGCATAACAGCGTTTTATTTTTTATAATTTAGTCCTATAAGTATAGAGAAATTTACTTAAATAGGACTAAAACATAATGACTTTCCCAATATAGGACCATATGTTTTTATTTTCCAATGTAGGATTTTTGGTCATTATCAAGTAGTCATTATTCAAGTAAATATTCATCATTACTGGACATTATTCCTCCCACGAGGTCATTATTAAGTCCTATTTAGGAAATAAAAAATTTTAAGTCCTACATTGGAAAAGTCATTATGTTTTAGTCCTATTTAGTGCAAATTTTACATAAGTATAAGGCAAACTGTTGTGTGATTATTCCGTCCAATTCTGTTGCTAGTGATTATTCGGGGCTATATAAGTTAGCTTCCCACTTATTGGATAGTGATGGCCGACCTAATGTCACAAGACATCTACTTGTTGTCCACCATGTTTTTTTTTTACACCAAACTCTTTTCCCCCCCACATACACACAAGAATATGAGACATGGAACACATGTTTCGTTGTTATATTAGCATAATACTCAACAATATACTCTAATTAAAACATCATTTTCGACTAATCAAAATGTGGTTTCAGGCACTTGGTATGCTAGCGTTTCGAATGAACAATATGTTGTTTGAATCTAATCGCAGTGTTTAGGTTTAGGGTTTTGAAGTTAATATGCACCATGTGTGTCTACCGAGAATTCGAGAAAGGTCATGTGAACAACCCATGGATGTCGTTCATTTGGCACTCCTATGTTCCTCCGAAGTTTTTCTTCACTCTTTGGCTTGCCTGCCCTAAAAGATTACCAATGAAGAAGAGTCTCACCTTCATTGACATGCCAAGAGATGGTACACCAACATTTGTACACCATGTTTGTCATTGACGGACAACAATTGTCTGCCAGGCAATTATTGTCTGTGAGTGTTTGTAACAAACGTGTTGTACAAATGAGGTAGAAATGTTGTTGTAGCCCTAGCTTTATTGTCTCAGATTTGGTTGGAAATTAGGGCTTGGTTGGGCATTGACAAGCAGTTGTCAACTTGTGAGATGCACTCTTCTTTCCTTCAATCCCCTCCATAATGCTCCAACCAAGACAAGGGCTAGCTAAATGTCTAACAAGACCAATTGTTGCCTGAAAATCTATGCATTTCAATTGAAGAAAAAGGGTAACTAGTAGCTTTACATCTCATATGCCCAGAATGCTCAAAATGTGAGTAGCATCCTGCATCAAAATATAATGAAGAAACTAATGAGTTTATGAGTTCTTGAGTCGAACTAATAATCGATTGGATTGGAACTTTTAAGGTGGTTCATTTTCCAAGTCTCTCTGAGTTTGATTCAATCAAATACAAGTGGTTCGTTGGTTAAGAAATTGTTGGAGTCTGTCCGTTTGTTGCAATTGGGTGTTAGTGCTATATAACCCTTGGTATCCTTGTATTTTGAAGTAACAAAGAAATGAATAAATAATCAATCTTCCCTCTCAAATCTTCATCTCTCTCTCCCTCATCTATCTCTCATCTCTCTATCTCTGTTCTTCAATTTTGGTTCAGATTACGGTTTGATTCGAAGAATTACAGCACCATAACATCTGAAGGTAGAACTTGATTTCCCTTTAACCCTAAAATTGATTTGCCTGTGTTTATGGGAGAAAATTCAAGAGAATGGATCAAACAATGTGGAAAAGACTTTTCTCTTTATAAAGTTCCCGATAACAGAAAGGTGGCCTTAGCTTCGATTCATCTTAAAGGAAGGGCTAAAGTCTGGTTCAATGCATATGAACAAAGGAGTAAGCACATTGAATGGGAGGACTTTATTGTGGATTTGTATGCAAAATTTAAAGATGATAAATTGAGGCAAAAAGAGAACATAGAATACCAGCTCGAAGGATCAAAAGGATTGATGGCACCGAAAAGGCCTGCTATGTCACAGGGCTTGAGTCTCAGTTTAAGCTAGTCATCTATTAAGGTTTCCAATTCTACTTCTATAACTAAGGCAATTAGTTATGATAAACTGCAAGAGGAAACCTTAGCAGACTACATACAAGGTTCAAGGGAGACTTAACAGATTTGGGGATTCATTTACTCAACCAGCAAACCAGGCCACACCATTACTGGCCAAATGGGATCATGTCCACAAGACTGGTACATATAAGAACTTCTCAAGGCTTGTTCCTAGCTACTCACATTGACTCTGAAAAGATGGCAAGGAGTGTATGTTCTCAGTGTGAAAAAACCCTGGAAAAATGGCCATCAATGTGGAAACAAAAAGATTCAAGTGTTCTTTTGTTAAAGTCCTAGAAAAAGAAGAGGAACAATTTACAAAAACCTCGTCTGGATATCATCAAAGCTAATGATCCAGCCATGTCAGCTCATGATATATCGGGAAGGTATATGGTACAACCGGATGTACGGTACATCCGGATAGTACTCATTCTGAAGTAGAATAGTACTCATTCTCGCACAAATACAATTAGCGTGGTGCTCATTCTAAAATAATGCAGTACTCATTTTCACACATTGGTTCAATATAATTATAATATTCATCTACAAATAATGTAGCATTCATTGTGAAACAAAACAGCAAGCATTCTCAAATAACATTTTTATGTAAAATAAAATCCATACCATAAATAAATTTTTTTGGTTGTACCCGAAATTGGGTACAACTGGATGTATAATATAATTTGCCTGATATATCTGGGAGTAAAGATTTCAGTCTAAATTCTATCACAAAACGATCCCTGCAAATTCCGATAATTACATTGACTCATACAAAACCAATGGCTTAGCTGCAAAGTGCGAATATCTCCAAATCTAAAACGTAGAGAATGAAGTACCAATGCAATAGTCGGCGATGGCGGATTGGCGGCGGAGTGGTGACGGCGCGCTCCGTCTGATAGTCATTTGGACGGGCCAAGAGATAAACAACAAGCCCATTTTAATGGGATAAATCGGGCTTGAGCAACAAAAAAACATCTAATCCGGCCCAGGCCTATAATTGGCTAATAGGGAAAACTCCTATTAGGAGCAAAAAAAAGGAAATACTTGTACAAAAGTAGGAGTATTATTCTTTTTACGATTTAATATAAATTTTAAAATTACTCACTTTGTACTTTTAAATAATCTATTTCCATTGACGCAAAAAAAGTCATTTTATTTGGAAGAATTCACATGGTCGAATTAAATATTTATATTTTTTGTGATTATTTGTTAAGATAACATAGTAAAATCACTTTTTATTTATACGTTTTTCTTTACTTTTAAATATACAAATTTTATTATAGAATTAAATTTGCACCAATATAAAAATAAACTAAACACATTATAAAGAAAAGGACCCAAATATGACTAAAGGATAACAAAAGAATAAACTAGGACATTTATATTTGTATTTCAAAATAAGATTTCTAATTTTAATAATCCCTCAGTTCATAAATAAACTTCCCGTTGCGCGTTACTATGTTTGACTGAAGTTATTTTCAAATCATTTTATATGAAAAATGGTGTAAAATTTAAAAACAAAAATTACATATTAAAAAATTCTATCAAAAGATCTACAAAACTATAGGTAACATAACTATAATATTTTATCAAATGGGTGGCGAAAATAGGCCAACAAAATAAATACAGTTTGACTCTGTGAATAGTGAACGTGAAGTTTATTTGTAGACGGATGGGGTATAATACGGAGTATCAAAATATCAAGAAGCCGAAAATTCAAGTTTGTGATAGTAGGTCATATAAAAAAGATTTTATACTCTAACACACCCTCTCATATCACATAGGCGAGATTTGATTCTGATCAAAACATGCACGTGAATATTATTTTTTTTTAAATTAAGTGGTAATGAGATTCAAACTCATGAGTTTTTGGTTAATAGAGATTAGATACTGTGTCAAAAAATCAATTCAACTGAAAGTTCAAATTAAAGATGAGATTGTAGGATAAAACTAGTTCTATATTCTAACACAAAAATCACTATCACAGTACAATATTTTTTAAAAAATAAAAACCATGGCACTTCTATTTCAAGGATAAAGACTACATGGTCTATTTGGTTGGGAGGGAGGAGAGTGGAAAAATGGATGGGAGGGAATGGTAAGGGATGGAAAGAATTCCCTTCACTTTGGCCGTGTTTGAAAACAGCATTTGGGATAGCTTTTGGCATCTTTGACTGACTTTGGCTTTTTTGACCAAGCGAACCGCCAAAACCATTGTTTGGCTAATGGCTTTTTCACTTGGCATTTTGATCCGAAAAACCAAAATCTGAAATGCCAAGGTGAGTAGCATTTGGATTTGGCGGTTAGGAAAAATATATTTTTTAAAATCATTTTTGTTGAAAGATATTTTATAATATATGTAAAAAATAAAAATAAAAGTTAAAAAAATTAAATACGAAAAAATAAAATGAAATTAAAAAAATATTATATTTATAATTCATTACAAAATTTATATTTATAATTTATTATGAATTAAATGAAATTAAAATTTAATATTCCATATAGTAAAGATTTAATTTTTACATGTAAAAAAATGAAAAATAAATATCATGTCTATATATATATATATATATATAGACACACACACACACACACACATACATACATACATACATACATACATATATATATAGATATATATAATTTTTTATTTAATTTTTTAATTTAAAAAAATATATATTTATGATATGATATTTAAAAAAATTGTAAAATAAAATATACCATAAATGGAGGGATGTCCTTTTATGTAATTTTATTTACAAACAGCTAACTATAAAAAGCTAAAGTTGCCAAACACTTAAAATTTAACTGCTAACAGAAACAGCCGGTCAAAACAGCTAACTCAATCAGCCATTCAGAGGTTTTATTTTCAATTTTTTTTTTAAATTTAAATTTTTTGATCTATTTTTCTAAAAATTATAAATAGTATTTTTATTTTTATGATTTTTTTTCTGATTTTTATTTATTTTATTTTTTAATTTTTTTTATCAATTTTCTTTTATATAAATTTTCATTATTTTATTTATTATTTATTATTTATTGCTACGTGGGATCCAACTTGGTTGTTGTTTTTGTTATTATGTTGATTTTTTTTATACATTGATATTTTTTTTTTATTATTATAAACATTTTTGTTATTATTAACTTTTGTTTGTTACAGTATTCTATAATAATTTATTTTATTTTATAATTATTTATTTACTTATTTTGTTTTTATTTATTATTATTATTATTTATTCATTTATTTTATTTTATTATTTTTTTATTTATATTATTTGTTTAATGGTAAGGTGATGGAAAAACTGAGAGAAGAATAAGAGAAGAACATGAGGGAAACAGATTATATTCGATTTCGAGGTGAGGGAATTAAAGTTAAAATTTTGGATCCCCTCCTCTTCATGTTTTTGAACCAAAGAGGTGGAGAGATTTAGATTATGAAATATTTGCACTAAATAGCACTAAAACTTAAGTCGTTTTTCTAAATAGCACTTAAATTATTTTATTCCCTAAATAGCACTTAATAATGTCCATAATGTCTTGTGATGACAAATATTTATTTGAATAATGACTAATGCATAATGACTAAAAGTGCTACATTGGGAAGAAAAACACATGTAGTGCTATTTAGAAAAAGTCATTATGTTTTAATGTTACTTAAGTAAATTCCTCTTAGATTATCTTCCCTCCCCTTCAACCAAAAGGCCCTACAGCTACGTGTTTACTTCTATATATTTTGAGTGATTTGTTAACATTATAATCAAACATGAGTAATTTTCTAAAAGTGAAATGATATCGATTTAAATCGTCAGGTGTTTTCGTCAAGGGGTTTATTTGGATACAAATATTAAAAAAGTATGAGCGTGTGAATTTAATATAGAGACACTGATAATAATACATACATTAATTGCATTATACATGATCAACCAGAAACTAACCGTTTAGTTATATATTTTATTTTTTACTAAGGTTACCAAGCATTCATCGTAATTAGTCCGTAGAAAGTAAATAATCCTCTAAAATATAAATATACAATGCTTCTTTAGTGTGTGTGTGTGTGTGTGAATGTATAATGAATTAGATGTGGTAAATTATTATAAAGGGAAAGTGGTTTAATAAGAGTGAAATTGCAAGCAAGAGGTCGCATAATTAACCTATTTAGGAATAGAACCACAACATATTGTAATTTTCTTACATGGGAATCATCGTATGGACTTTAGTCGCACGTTATTATAAACGTATGCAACTATCGATGCGTAAATCACGGAACGATTTCAAACCGACCAGCCAAATGGCATATACAAAGACCAAATAAAAGCGATAGGCTGCAGTTAGCTTAGTTATACATCACAACAAAATGTACTCCCTCCGTCCCTAAATAAAGTTCCTCTTTCGTTATTTCTTTGTCCCTAAATAAACTTCTATTTTCCCTTAAAAAACCTCTTTTACCCATTACTTTTTCATACCCTACCTATCACATCATACTTTTTTACTAATAATCTATCTATCACATCTTACTTTAACACATCACATCAAGAGTATTTTTAGAAAGTCAACACCAAAATATCCCTCCCTTAAATCCTCAAAAAGTCAAAAATGGAACTTTATTTAGGGACGGAGGGAGTAATTAAATTGATCTTTTTTTAAAAAAAATTACGAGTATTTTTTCTTCGTATGTCCTAAATGTTAATACTCTCTCCGTCCCACAAAAAAGTTCTCATTTTGATGTATTTTTGGTCAAACAGTTACACGCTTTGACCATAAATTAAATATAATCTAAATAAAGAAATGCTAAAAAATTGAGATATCAAAACTAAATCTTAAGATGAATCCAATTGTATTAAATTTATTTTATAATTCAATATACTTTTCTCATCATTTGTAGTCAAAACGTGTAAATATTTGACTAAATAATATTCAAAATGAGAACTTTTTTGTGGGACGGAGAGAGTATTATTTTGAATGGACTAAAAATAGAATCAAAATTGTATAGTGAGTATAGAAAGCTTTGTTTTTAAGTTCACAACAGTAGACTCAATGAATTAAGAAACTTTTATGTTAATAATCAAATCTACAAAAGTTAAAAGTATATTAAATAAGACGAATATACTAATTGTCTGTTCATTTTGATTGTAAAAATATAGTTACATGTTGGAAGAAATTGAAAAAAGTTAGAAGAAATTGGAAAATTTGAAAGGGGTTCAATTCGAAGAAACTAATAAAATAAGTTAGAAACATTGAAATGAGTTGGAAGAAAATGAAAGAAGTTGGAAGAAACCGGAAAGAGTTGAAAGAAACCGGAAGGAGTAGAAAGAAACTAAAAGGAAGATAGAAGAAACAGAAAAGAGTTGGATAGAAAATCTAATGAGTTGGAAGAAACGGGAGTGAGAAGAAACAGAGATCGAGTAGTTGAAAGAAACTTGTAGAAGTTGAAAGAAACAATAAATAGTTAGAAAAACTGAAAGATGTTGGAAGAAACTGAAAGATATTGGAAAAAATGAAAGGTGTTGAAACATAATTATATTTAATGAATTACATAATTTATTTAAATAATTTAAAATATTCTTTTTAAACATTTTATATTTCTTTTTATTTTCCACTATGTCGGTATATTTTGACCAAAATTATAATAATATTTGTCTCACTTACACTCACTCTTATTTTTTTACTTTTAAAAATAAATATAAATCATATAAATTTTTAATTCTTAATTTGCATGTCACTAATCCATGTAACGAAAATAAGTGCACGAATGTAACGCATTGAATTGGAAATCGGCTTAGAAGTTAAATATTATTTTTAATGGGTGTAACACTGTAACCCACCCAAGCCATGATCCGGATCATATCAGTCTCAACCAAGATCACCCGAGCAAAGTCCGGGTACTATGCAGCAGAGTTGTTTGGGTGGATTTGTACCATGCCTGGATGGGGTTCAGGCGTCCAGCCAAGACCATCCGGGCAAGGTCAATGTACTGTGCAACAGGATTGTTTGGGTGGATCTTACTTTAATATTGCACT